CCCACTAGGGCTGTTCCAGAAGGCCATCGCCCAGAGTGGCACTGCTATCTCCAGCTGGTCTGTCAACTACCAGCCGCTCAAATACACGCGGCTACTGGCAGCCAAGGTGGGCTGTGACCGAGAGGACAGTGCTGAAGCTGTGGAGTGTCTACGCAGGAAGCCTTCCCGGGAGCTGGTGGACCAGGACGTGCAACCTGCCCGGTATGGGGGTGGGAGAGGACCAGGTCCAGGCTATCACTGTTGATTGCAAAGAGATTGAGGTCAAGGGGTACCTGCCTGCTTTCCATCTGGCAAGGAAGCCTGTGCTTTAAGCTCCTATGGGGGCCACACTTTCTCTTCCCATGGCTATAAAGGTAGTGTAGCAGGTAGGGAACTTGCTTTATAATGCACCTGGTCCGGGTATGATTCTCAGAACTGCATATGGCTCCTTAAGCATCCCTGAGCGCAGAGCCAGGAGTAAGCCCTGGGCACAGCAGGGTATGACCCAACCCCCTTCCACCCCCCCCCCCCAAAGGAAGCCGCCTTCTCTAAGTAAAGGTTCCTAAACAGAGAAAGTGTGGGCAAAGCACCCTGAGTTGCCTTAGGAGGGACTTGGTACGAGGTCTAGGGGAGAGGTCTTGCCAAGCCCAGGGAGAGCCCGGGTTGTGGGCTCTGAGCTGAGGGGGCCCACGAGCAGGTGATAAGATCCTGACCCCTTCTCCCCAGCTACCACATTGCCTTCGGGCCCGTGGTGGACGGTGACGTCGTCCCCGATGACCCTGAGATCCTCATGCAGCAGGGAGAATTCCTCAACTATGACATGCTCATCGGGGTCAACCAAGGAGAGGGCCTGAAGTTCGTGGAGGACTCTGCAGAGAGTGAGGACGGCGTGTCTGCCAGCGCCTTTGACTTCACTGTCTCCAACTTCGTGGACAACCTGTATGGCTACCCAGAAGGCAAAGATGTGCTGCGTGAGACCATCAAGTTTATGTACACAGACTGGGCTGACCGTGACAATGGTGAGATGCGGCGCAAGACCCTGCTGGCACTCTTCACTGACCACCAGTGGGTAGCACCGGCTGTGGCCACCGCCAAGCTGCACGCCGACTACCAGTCCCCTGTCTATTTTTACACCTTCTACCACCACTGCCAGGCTGAGGGCAGGCCCGAGTGGGCAGACGCAGCGCACGGGGATGAACTGCCCTATGTCTTTGGTGTGCCCATGGTCGGTGCCACCGACCTCTTCCCCTGCAACTTCTCCAAGAATGATGTCATGCTCAGCGCTGTGGTCATGACCTACTGGACCAACTTCGCCAAGACTGGGTGAGGGCCAGAGGGACCGGGTGGGATGCCCTGCAGACAGACGCGTGCACCCCCTTTCCTCACTCGCACTCAGCCCTCCTTCCACCACTCAGGTTCTCTGCCTTGTCTCAGACGCCTGCCGGCCACCCCTCCATGCCAGGCACTGGGGGGCTTGCTGCAGACATGGCAGCTGACAGACCAGAGCTCTGTTCTTCGGGGGGTGGGCTCCCTCGCTGCTGGCCCTGCCTCCATGTCCGTCTCCTTTCTGCTGTCAGTGCCTTCTCTCGCTACCCAGCTCTGTCTCTCGGAATGCCCCTGGCCAGCAGAATCTAGAAGGGGCGTGTCCATTGTCAGGGCTGCGGTTGCTCTCTCACCCATCCGTTGCTCCTCTCCTTCCCTCTCTTCGGTTTCCTTTCTGTTGTAGCTCTCATTCCCCTGTCTCTCCTGTTATCGTGTCTGGGGGATGGGGATGTGACACACCTAGCAGTGCTCAGGTTTTCCCCTGCCTCTGCACTCAGGGACCACTTCCGGCGGGCCTCGGGCAACCATATGGAATGCCCGGATCGAACCCCGCTCTTCCTGCTGAACCCCTACCTGCCGCGCTATGTCTCCAGCCTCTCGCCTGTGCATTTGTTTCCTGTTCCCTTGTGATTTCATCCTGACTCTCGCTGGCTGTCTCTCATCTCATCTGTCTCTGGCAGTTCCGCTGTCTCTTGGTATCCGCTGGGACTGTCTCTCTTCTCTGACTCCCTGGCTCCCTGACTCTCATTCTTCCTACTCCCCCCCGCCCCTCCCCCAGCCCCGCTGGAGCCTCGCCCTCACTCCTCCTTTCCCTGCCCACAGCGATCCCAACCAGCCGGTGCCCCAGGACACCAAGTTCATCCACACCAAGCCCAACCGCTTTGAGGAGGTGGTGTGGAGCAAGTTCAACAGCAAGGAGAAGCAGTACCTGCACATTGGTTTGAAGCCACGCGTGCGGGACAACTACCGTGCCAACAAGGTGGCCTTCTGGCTGGAGCTCGTGCCCCACCTGCACAACCTGCACACGGAGCTCTTCACCACCACCACGCGCCTGCCCCCCTACACCACCCGCTGGCCACCTCGCCCGCCCCCGGGCGCCCCGGGCACCCGCCGGCCCCCGCTGCCTGCCACCCTGCCGCCCGAGCCTGAGCCCGAGCCGGGCCCCCGGGCTTATGACCGCTTCCCCGGGGACTCCCGAGACTACTCCACGGAGCTCAGCGTCACTGTGGCCGTGGGCGCCTCCCTCCTCTTCCTCAACATCCTCGCCTTTGCCGCCCTCTACTACAAGAGGGACCGGAGGCAGGAGCTGCGATGCCGGCGACTCAGCCCCCCGGGGGGCTCAGGCTCTGGCGTGCCCGGAGCGGGCCCCCTGCTCCCCGCTGCAGGCCGAGAGCTGCCACCGGAGGAGGAGCTGGTATCGCTGCAGCTGAAGCGGGGTGGTGGCGTGGGGGCGGACCCTGCCGAGGCCCTGCGCCCTGCCTGTCCACCCGACTACACCCTGGCCCTGCGCCGGGCACCAGACGATGTGCCTCTCTTGGCCCCGGGGGCCCTGACCCTGCTGCCCAGTGGCCTGGGGCCACCACCGCCCCCTCCACCCCCTTCCCTCCATCCCTTTGGGCCCTTTCCCCCTCCTCCCCCCACCGCTACCAGCCACAACAACACCCTACCCCACCCCCACTCCACCACTCGGGTATAGGGGGCAGCTTGGGGAGGCCCGCCTCCCCGGCCCTCCAGCCCTCCCGGCAGGAAGTACCCCTTGGAAGGCAGGGAGGACTATTTGGCAAGAGGCTTTTCTCATGGAGTTGTCACATGTCAAGGAGCCTTAGGTGGACACGGGGTTCCTCACCGGGATGTGTGTCTCCCATGCAGGGAGGCCCTTTCTCTTCTCTGGACCTGGGCCTTTGAACAACCGGGGATGCTTCTCCCACACTGGGACACCAGTCTTGGGTATATGGAAACTCGCAAGTGTTGCCCCCCCGGAGGTGTGCTTTCTCACCAGGGGGTGCGTTTTCCCATGTGCAGGGCGAGGTTTTTTTTGCCCCCCTGGACACATGTTGGCCCCCTCAAGAAATTTCTGTGGGGATTTGTACCCCACAATCCTATTCCCTTCCCTCTTCTCTCACCTCTCTCCTCTCCCCACCCCTGGAGACCCCAGAAGTGGTGTGTGTGTGTACACACAGTGACCCTGGGCCACCAGACAGCATAGGGTTGTGCCTGGGAAGTGGCAAGGAAATCAGCCCGCTCCCTGCCCCCACAGCCCCGCTGCCCCCACCCCAGCAAAGCATGTTTACCCCCCCCCCCCATGGCACAAGTCCAAGGAAACAAAGTTTTCCAGAGAGACAGATTTCCTGCTGCAGGGAGGGAGAAGATCTGAGCATCCCTGTAGTGCCTGGGAATCGTCTACCCGTGGGTCCAGGGCGCACTTCTCTGAGTGGAAACATGGTTTTGCATGTGGATGTGTGTTTTCCCATGCAGATGACCCCTTTCTCTCCAGCACTTCCCGGTGTCCCTTACCCCCCGTCCCCACCTCGCGCCCAGCACTTAATTTCTTCCTCACACAGGATGAGGGAGCACACTTGAAGCTGAGGGGGAATGTACAAACCCTGAGGGGAGGGCACGTGGCACCTGCCCTCCACAGAGGCCATGCATGTTTGACCAAAGCCCTCACTGGGGTCTGAGGACAGCCTTCCCCTCAGTCCTCGGACCACCACTCATATGTGCCAAACTGGGTAGGTTTGAGGGTGGAAGAATCCCCAAATGTGCCAAGGATTCCCCCAATTCCAGGCCAGGGCGTCTAAACGAGGGGGCAGGCGGGGAGGGAGTTGGCAGCTAAAGGGGTCCCACCTGCGTCTCATGTCGCACTTCTCTCTTCCTCAGTTCTCCATTAGGCCCTCTTCCTCTGAAGCTTTTGCGTCCTGGTGTCAGACCAGCTTCTCTCCTCCCCCTTCTGGGGCCATCCCCTTCTCGGACCAGCCCTCAGTCACCAGGGCTGAAGGGAAGGAGGGTGAAGGAAGGCAGGGCAGGGGTGAAGGGTTTCACAGGACAGGTGGACCCAGTGAGGTCACTGTGCTGAGGAACAGATGTCGCGGGGTATGGACTCGGGAGAGACCCTCAGGGAGAACAGGGAGCAATGAGGCGATGCCCAGCTGGGACCGAGCAGGAAGTGCTGGAGCCTCTGGGGGACTGTATGCTATCAGAGAGGTGTGTGAGGGGCACCAGTGGGGAAGGAGAGAGCCCTACTGGCATTTGGGTGGGTTTGTGCCAAACTTGAATTGGGAGTGAGGTGCTTCCACTGACACCTACATCCAGAATTCCCAGCCTTGGCTCCCCAGAACGTTGCTTCCTGGTTTTCCCTTCTCCTACCCCACCCATGGAAACATAGTTTGTCTCTGACCCTCCCCGCTGCCTGGTCTAGCTCCTCTCCAAACAGCCATGCCCTTTAAATGCTAGGGATCTGGGCCCTGAACCCTGTTAGACAGATGCCCCCTAAAAATGGGGCATGGAGGGGATTAGGGGACCCCATGATTCAGCCACGGACTCCAATGCCCAGTCCTCACCAGAACAATTCCCTGACCATCCTGTGTCCCCACCCCAATCCTTCACAGCTCTGTACACATTTTTAAACCTGGCAAAAGATGAAGAGAATATTGTAAATATAAAAGTTTAACTGTTGCTTGTGCCTGCTGAAATGTTAGCAGATGGATGGGGAGTGCGCAAGCAGCAGCTTGGAGAAAATGACTGCCCATGAGGGAGAACGGTTGGAGCCTGCGGCCACTGCAGCCAATGGCTGCATTATCTAAGATGGGAGGTGGGTGGTGGGTAGGGGGGATCTACAGGAAGTTAAGATTAGGGCCCTTGTGGGGCTGGAGCCATAGTACAGCGGGTCGGGTGTTTGCCTTGCGTGCGGCTGACCCGGGTTGGAGTCCCAGCATCCCATATGGTCCCCCGAGCAAGCCAGGAGTAATTCCTGAGTGCAGAGCCAGGAGTAACCCCTGAGCATCTCCGGGCGTGACCCAAGAAGCAAAAAAAAAAAAAAAGATTAGGACCCTTGTTTGTACGGAAATCGAGACTGTAAAGGGTCAGGCAGGGGACAGATGTGGACAGAGCCCAGGCAGGTCTGAGCTTGTGGGCTGGTTCGGGTGGCCAGTTGAAGGCACACAAGGGGAAGGGCTGGCCTTTGCTGATGCCTGAATCCAGGCTGGAAGGTCCACCATGGGCCTGGACTTTCCCTCTTAACACATTGTGAGGGAAAAATCTAAGATCATTATGACCCGCTTACCCCCAGGAGCCTCTGGGAAAGGTAGGATACTGTATGCTCAGTGGGCCTAGGGGCCCCAGTGGCCCTAGAAACCCCCATTACCATGGCTGAGTGGCCCCGGCCCCAGTGGACCTCTTATCACAATACCCATCCCAACAACTGCCAGGATGTGGGCAACTCCATCCTCCTGCTGCTGGGCCTCATCATCTGCATTAACATCAGCATCAATATGGTGACGCTGGTCAGGGGGGGACCAGGTGGGAGGGTGTCTGCAGGAGGGCTTGGAGGGCCATGCCTGGTGGCCAGGGTGTACCTAAGGTCACTGTGTCCTCCCCTACCTAGCTCTGGCACAGACTTCGTGGCGTCTTACACCAAATGTTCCATATTATTTGTGAGAAAGGTAAGTAGTGACTGAGGGTTAGGGTGTAGGAAGGGTAGAAACCCGTATTCTAGCCCTGGCCCTAAGCTGGTCCCTCCCCGCTCCCAGATCTCCCCCTCAAACACCAGCGCCCTGCAGCATCTTTCCCTACACCCTGCCCTCCATCCCTGGAGGAGCCAGCTTCTCACCTCTCCCCATCCACAGAGGTTAAGACTTCCTCACCTGAGAAAAAGGAGCCGCCCCCGGAGAAGACCCCCACTGAAGTCCACCTTCGGTGTACCATGGACCCCGTGAAAATGACTCTGACCCCCCCACCTACTGGACACCATCATCACCATCACACCCACCACTCCAAATCTCAGGTCCTCGACACTGAGGAGGACGAGGAAGAGCCCGAGGAGGAAGAGGAGGAGGAGGAGGAAGAGGAGGAGGAGGTGGTGCTGGCGGAGGAAAAACCCGCACACCTGCACCCAACATTCTGTTCCCACAACTGGAATGGCCCCCAGACCTGGGGAGGCTGCCAAACCACCAAGGAATTTTGGGTTCCCTGGGACCCAGATGCTGCACAGCCACTGCCCCAGACTATTCACTTCCAGCAGACCGTAGTGGAGAGGTGCCCCAAAGCAGACAGGCATTCAGAATTGGACCTAGAGGCCTATGTATACCCTGTGAATCCCCCACCTCCCAGTCCCAGGAGCCTGAGCCACAATAACGGTGGAGGGGGGTCAAAGGAAGGGGCAGGAGGGGGCGCTGAGGCAGAGCAGGAGCCTAGCTCGCAGGCCCCACCTGCTGTGCCACCCAACCAGGGCCCAGCATATGTCCCCGAAATTCCACGATGCCACTCTGCAGCCCGAATAGAGTATGATGCCCGAGATGTGAGGCGGCGGCTTCGGGAGCTGACCCGGGAAGTGGAGGCCATCACCCACTGCTACCCTCTGGCCTCCAATTCCAGCACAGTTAAGAATGTGGCAAAGAATGGGCATACCACTCCCTGACAGATGACTGGGAGAAGAATAAAAAAGAAGAGAGGTGATTTGTGGTGATGTGGGGAGCATTGGCTGGGGGCAGGGCCACATAGCACTCAGAAGCCAGGGCTGCTAAATGATCGATCTTGCTGACAACAGGACCTAGAGCCCTTAGGAAACTTACTGACCTCACCAGGTCTCGTCCTCAGGATCTTCCCTGGTCTTTTTTTTTTTTTTTTTTTTTTTTTTAGTTTTTGGGCTACATTTGGCAGTGCTCAAGGGTTACTCCTGGCTCTGCAGTACTCTGCACTGCCCCTCGTGTGCAGGGTAGCACCTTACCCACTGTACAGCTGCTCCAGCGCCACTTCTTGGGTCTTGATTCTTTCCAAATTGACTCTGTGTGTGTGTGTGTGTAAGAGAGAGAGAGAGAGAGAGAGTTTACAAGGAACTGTTTGGGCCACACCCAACAATACTTCCAGTTTGGTGCTCAGGAGTTGCTCAGAGAGGTACCCCAGCTTCCTGTATGCCAAAGCATGTGCTCCAGCCTTTTTTTTTTTTTTTTGGTGGGGGGAGAAGTGTAGCATGCACACACAGCAGTGTTCAGGGCTTACTGCTGGCAGTGCTCAGGGCACCATATGTGGTGCCAGGGATTGAACCCAGGTCAGCTACATGCAGACTGAGCACCCTCCCAATTGTATTCTCTCTCCAGACTCTCCAACCCTTCAGGCTATTTTGCTGGTAATCTTTTTTCTTTAAAGCACAGAGACCCCACAAATTCCCACCCCACATCCCTAGGGACTGAAGAGAAAAAAATTCTCACCCCCTTGGCCCTAACTCCTCAGAGGCCTAGTTCCTACAGGTGAGACAGAGTTCCTTCCTAAGACTTGGTTTCTTTGGGCATAGGTGGCTGAGAATGAGGGTATCTAGTCCTTCTTGTTTCCCTAGTCAGAACCTTGAACCCCTGTCCCCATAAGGAGTTTGGAGGAGGTCGTTTGGGCCAGCCTGATCATTGCATCACAGCTTGCTTCGACCTGACTCCCCTGCCTGCTTAGCATATATCCGCATCATAAATGAGCAAATTGAGGATCTCCTTGAACCCAGGAACACCAGGGATCACATTCCATAATTCATGGCCTCAGATGCTCTGGGTCACACCCAGTGATGCTCAGGGGTTACTCCTGGCTCTGCACTCGGAAATTACTCCTGGCGGTGCTGGAGGAACCATGTGGGATGCTGGGGGATCAAACTCGGGTCTGCTGCATGCAAGGCAAACTCCCTACCCGCTGTACTATCGCTCCAGCCCCTATCATCCATTTTTACGGTTGGGATCACATGCGAGTGCACACACAACTTGAGAACAAGGAGCCATGTGAGTACACAGAGACTGAAGAAAGCCAGCTTTGTTTTTCATAACAACTTAGTTCCTGGAATTTGAGCAGATAGAATTTTATGGGAATGGCTCTGTTTCTCCGTTCATTTTTTTTTTTTCTTTTTCTCAGTTTTTATTTTTTGATTTTTTTTTTTTTTATAATTTATTTATTTATTGAATCACTGTGGGAAAAGTTACAGAGCTTTCGGGTTTAGGTCTCAGTCATGTAGATACCGAACACATTTCCCTTTACCAATACTCATTTTTAACCCCGAACCCCAATAGACCCCTACCTCCCACCCCTCCCAATTCTTGTGAGGCAGATGAGTTCTAGTTAATACTCTATCTACTTTGACTAGATAGATTATTTCGATAGAAGATGCACAATTATTGTTAAGAGTTTACGACCCACCCACCCCCCAATCAGACATGCTGAAACAGCGTTGTGAAATGATTTGCTTCCTACAACTTGGTTTAAGAATAAAATGATGTCGCGCGGCCGCGATAGCGGCCGCGCGGTTTTGAATTTCTGCTATTTTACTTATTGACCCTGGAAGAATTTCTATTAAAAGTTAGCTAGTTAAGAGATTGGTTTCTGTGCCCTGGAGTCGTGGCCGTGCCGGAGAGCCGCTCGTGGGGGGCAGCTGGCGACCTCGGTGGGGCGTGGGGGACGGCCCACAAAGCCCCCCTTCCCATGAGGTCCCCGCCGCTCCCCCCCCCCGAGCCCGGCTCAAACCTGCTTTCCACAAGGCTCCCGTGCGGCCGCCATCTTTCTTTCCAGAGAGGAGCGGGCGGGCTGGTCAACGCCCTTCCCCCTCCGGGCAGTCTTGGTGGCGCGGATCAACACAAGTCCATTTGCTTTTCTGCTCCAAGCGGCTGGTTCTCTGTGCTAAGTCCTTGTGCCTCCGGGGCCGTGGCCGTGCCGGAGAGCCGCTCGTGGGGGGCAGCTGGCGACCTCGGTGGGGCGTGGGGGACGGCCCACAAAGCCCCCCTTCCCATGAGGTCCCCGCCGCTCCCCCCCCCGAGCCCGGCTCAAACCTGCTTTCCACAAGGCTCCCGTGCGGCCGCCATCTTTCTTTCCAGAGAGGAGCGGGCGGGCTGGTCAACGCCCTTCCCCCTCCGGGCAGTCTTGGTGGCGCGGATCAACACAAGTCCATTTGCTTTTCTGCTCCAAGCGGCTGGTTCTCTGTGCTAAGTCCTTGTGCCTCCGGGGCCGTGGCCGTGCCGGAGAGCCGCTCGTGGGGGGCAGCTGGCGACCTCGGTGGGGCGTGGGGGACGGCCCACAAAGCCCCCCTTCCCATGAGGTCCCCGCCGCTCCCCCCCCCGAGCCCGGCTCAAACCTGCTTTCCACAAGGCTCCCGTGCGGCCGCCATCTTTCTTTCCAGAGAGGAGCGGGCGGGCTGGTCAACGCCCTTCCCCCTCCGGGCAGTCTTGGTGGCGCGGATCAACACAAGTCCATTTGCTTTTCTGCTCCAAGCGGCTGGTTCTCTGTGCTAAGTCCTTGTGCCTCCGGGGCCGTGGCCGTGCCGGAGAGCCGCTCGTGGGGGGCAGCTGGCGACCTCGGTGGGGCGTGGGGGACGGCCCACAAAGCCCCCCTTCCCATGAGGTCCCCGCTGCTCCCCCCCCCGAGCCCGGCTCAAACCTGCTTTCCACAAGGCTCCCGTGCGGCCGCCATCTTTCTTTCCAGAGAGGAGCGGGCGGGCTGGTCAACGCCCTTCCCCCTCCGGGCAGTCTTGGTGGCGCGGATCAACACAAGTCCATTTGCTTTTCTGCTCCAAGCGGCTGGTTCTCTGTGCTAAGTCCTTGTGCCTCCGGGGCCGTGGCCGTGCCGGAGAGCCGCTCGTGGGGGGCAGCTGGCGACCTCGGTGGGGCGTGGGGGACGGCCCACAAAGCCCCCCTTCCCATGAGGTCCCCGCCGCTCCCCCCCCCGAGCCCGGCTCAAACCTGCTTTCCAAAAGGCTCCCGTGCGGCCGCCATCTTTCTTTCCAGAGAGGAGCGGGCGGGCTGGTCAACGCCCTTCCCCCTCCGGGCAGTCTTGGTGGCGCGGATCAACACAAGTCCATTTGCTTTTCTGCTCCAAGCGGCTGGTTCTCTGTGCTAAGTCCTTGTGCCTCCGGGGCCGTGGCCGTGCCGGAGAGCCGCTCGTGGGGGGCAGCTGGCGACCTCGGTGGGGCGTGGGGGACGGCCCACAAAGCCCCCCTTCCCATGAGGTCCCCGCCGCTCCCCCCCCCGAGCCCGGCTCAAACCTGCTTTCCAAAAGGCTCCCGTGCGGCCGCCATCTTTCTTTCCAGAGAGGAGCGGGCGGGCTGGTCAACGCCCTTCCCCCTCCGGGCAGTCTTGGTGGCGCGGATCAACACAAGTCCATTTGCTTTTCTGCTCCAAGCGGCTGGTTCTCTGTGCTAAGTCCTTGTGCCTCCAGGGCCGTGGCCGTGCCGGAGAGCCGCTCGTGGGGGGCAGCTGGCGACCTCGGTGGGGCGTGGGGGACGGCCCACAAAGCCCCCCTTCCCATGAGGTCCCCGCCGCTCCCCCCCCCGAGCCCGGCTCAAACCTGCTTTCCACAAGGCTCCCGTGCGGCCGCCATCTTTCTTTCCAGAGAGGAGCGGGCGGGCTGGTCAACGCCCTTCCCCCTCCGGGCAGTCTTGGTGGCGCGGATCAACACAAGTCCATTTGCTTTTCTGCTCCAAGCGGCTGGTTCTCTGTGCTAAGTCCTTGTGCCTCCGGGGCCGTGGCCGTGCCGGAGAGCCGCTCGTGGGGGGCAGCTGGCGACCTCGGTGGGGCGTGGGGGACGGCCCACAAAGCCCCCCTTCCCATGAGGTCCCCGCTGCTCCCCCCCCCGAGCCCGGCTCAAACCTGCTTTCCACAAGGCTCCCGTGCGGCCGCCATCTTTCTTTCCAGAGAGGAGCGGGCGGGCTGGTCAACGCCCTTCCCCCTCCGGGCAGTCTTGGTGGCGCGGATCAACACAAGTCCATTTGCTTTTCTGCTCCAAGCGGCTGGTTCTCTGTGCTAAGTCCTTGTGCCTCCGGGGCCGTGGCCGTGCCGGAGAGCCGCTCGTGGGGGGCAGCTGGCGACCTCGGTGGGGCGTGGGGGACGGCCCACAAAGCCCCCCTTCCCATGAGGTCCCTGCCGCTCCCCCCCCCGAGCCCGGCTCAAACCTGCTTTCCAAAAGGCTCCCGTGCGGCCGCCATCTTTCTTTCCAGAGAGGAGCGGGCGGGCTGGTCAACGCCCTTCCCCCTCCGGGCAGTCTTGGTGGCGCGGATCAACACAAGTCCATTTGCTTTTCTGCTCCAAGCGGCTGGTTCTCTGTGCTAAGTCCTTGTGCCTCCGGGGCCGTGGCCGTGCCGGAGAGCCGCTCGTGGGGGGCAGCTGGCGACCTCGGTGGGGCGTGGGGGACGGCCCACAAAGCCCCCCTTCCCATGAGGTCCCCGCCGCTCCCCCCCCCGAGCCCGGCTCAAACCTGCTTTCCAAAAGGCTCCCGTGCGGCCGCCATCTTTCTTTCCAGAGAGGAGCGGGCGGGCTGGTCAACGCCCTTCCCCCTCCGGGCAGTCTTGGTGGCGCGGATCAACACAAGTCCATTTGCTTTTCTGCTCCAAGCGGCTGGTTCTCTGTGCTAAGTCCTTGTGCCTCCAGGGCCGTGGCCGTGCCGGAGAGCCGCTCGTGGGGGGCAGCTGGCGACCTCGGTGGGGCGTGGGGGACGGCCCACAAAGCCCCCCTTCCCATGAGGTCCCCGCCGCTCCCCCCCCCGAGCCCGGCTCAAACCTGCTTTCCACAAGGCTCCCGTGCGGCCGCCATCTTTCTTTCCAGAGAGGAGCGGGCGGGCTGGTCAACGCCCTTCCCCCTCCGGGCAGTCTTGGTGGCGCGGATCAACACAAGTCCATTTGCTTTTCTGCTCCAAGCGGCTGGTTCTCTGTGCTAAGTCCTTGTGCCTCCGGGGCCGTGGCCGTGCCGGAGAGCCGCTCGTGGGGGGCAGCTGGCGACCTCGGTGGGGCGTGGGGGACGGCCCACAAAGCCCCCCTTCCCATGAGGTCCCCGCCGCTCCCCCCCCCGAGCCCGGCTCAAACCTGCTTTCCACAAGGCTCCCGTGCGGCCGCCATCTTTCTTTCCAGAGAGGAGCGGGCGGGCTGGTCAACGCCCTTCCCCCTCCGGGCAGTCTTGGTGGCGCGGATCAACACAAGTCCATTTGCTTTTCTGCTCCAAGCGGCTGGTTCTCTGTGCTAAGTCCTTGTGCCTCCGGGGCCGTGGCCGTGCCGGAGAGCCGCTCGTGGGGGGCAGCTGGCGACCTCGGTGGGGCGTGGGGGACGGCCCACAAAGCCCCCCTTCCCATGAGGTCCCCGCCGCTCCCCCCCCCGAGCCCGGCTCAAACCTGCTTTCCAAAAGGCTCCCGTGCGGCCGCCATCTTTCTTTCCAGAGAGGAGCGGGCGGGCTGGTCAACGCCCTTCCCCCTCCGGGCAGTCTTGGTGGCGCGGATCAACACAAGTCCATTTGCTTTTCTGCTCCAAGCGGCTGGTTCTCTGTGCTAAGTCCTTGTGCCTCCGGGGCCGTGGCCGTGCCGGAGAGCCGCTCGTGGGGGGCAGCTGGCGACCTCGGTGGGGCGTGGGGGACGGCCCACAAAGCCCCCCTTCCCATGAGGTCCCCGCCGCTCCCCCCCCCGAGCCCGGCTCAAACCTGCTTTCCAAAAGGCTCCCGTGCGGCCGCCATCTTTCTTTCCAGAGAGGAGCGGGCGGGCTGGTCAACGCCCTTCCCCCTCCGGGCAGTCTTGGTGGCGCGGATCAACACAAGTCCATTTGCTTTTCTGCTCCAAGCGGCTGGTTCTCTGTGCTAAGTCCTTGTGCCTCCAGGGCCGTGGCCGTGCCGGAGAGCCGCTCGTGGGGGGCAGCTGGCGACCTCGGTGGGGCGTGGGGGACGGCCCACAAAGCCCCCCTTCCCATGAGGTCCCCGCCGCTCCCCCCCCCGAGCCCGGCTCAAACCTGCTTTCCACAAGGCTCCCGTGCGGCCGCCATCTTTCTTTCCAGAGAGGAGCGGGCGGGCTGGTCAACGCCCTTCCCCCTCCGGGCAGTCTTGGTGGCGCGGATCAACACAAGTCCATTTGCTTTTCTGCTCCAAGCGGCTGGTTCTCTGTGCTAAGTCCTTGTGCCTCCGGGGCCGTGGCCGTGCCGGAGAGCCGCTCGTGGGGGGCAGCTGGCGACCTCGGTGGGGCGTGGGGGACGGCCCACAAAGCCCCCCTTCCCATGAGGTCCCCGCCGCTCCCCCCCCCGAGCCCGGCTCAAACCTGCTTTCCACAAGGCTCCCGTGCGGCCGCCATCTTTCTTTCCAGAGAGGAGCGGGCGGGCTGGTCAACGCCCTTCCCCCTCCGGGCAGTCTTGGTGGCGCGGATCAACACAAGTCCATTTGCTTTTCTGCTCCAAGCGGCTGGTTCTCTGTGCTAAGTCCTTGTGCCTCCGGGGCCGTGGCCGTGCCGGAGAGCCGCTCGTGGGGGGCAGCTGGCGACCTCGGTGGGGCGTGGGGGACAGCCCACAAAGCCCCCCTTCCCATGAGGTCCCCGCCGCTCCCCCCCCCCCCCGAGCCCGGCTCAAACCTGCTTTCCACAAGGCTCCCGTGCGGCCGCCATCTTTCTTTCCAGAGAGGAGCGGGCGGGCCGGTCAACGCCCTTCCCCCTCCGGGCAGTCTTGGTGGCGCGGATCAACACAAGTCCATTTGCTTTTCTGCTCCAAGCGGCTGGTTCTCTGTGCTAAGTCCTTGTGCCTCCGGGGCCGTGGCCGTGCCGGAGAGCCGCTCGTGGGGGGCAGCTGGCGACCTCGGTGGGGCGTGGGGGACGGCCCACAAAGCCCCCCTTCCCATGAGGTCCCCGCCGCTCCCCCCCCGAGCCCGGCTCAAACCTGCTTTCCACAAGGCTCCCGTGCGGCCGCCATCTTTCTTTCCAGAGAGGAGCGGGCGGGCTGGTCTCTCCGTTCATTTTTATTCAACTAATAACTGATAATTTTCAGTTGATGCCAGGTGAGTATGTGTTGAAGCACATATAACATTTGAAAGCTTGGTGGGAAATGTCCATTCACTTACCCTTTTTCTACTTGTGTAAACAAATGAGTTCCCCAGAACACCACGTTAATTGACTCCTGTGATAAACCTGGTTTAATCACAGATTCCTATGTCATATCTATTTTGTGCTTTGTGAAATTTTTTTCTATTTCTTTTTTTTTGGATCAAATCTAATGGTGCTCAGGGAACTACTACTGGATTGGGGCAGTGAAGAGAATCCAATCCAGGCCTCCACCTGCAAAAGCATGTGTTCCAACCCTTTGAGTCATATTCCTGGTTCTCGTGGGTTTTTTGTTTGTTTGTTTGGTTGGTTGGTTTGGTTTGGTTTTTAGCTTTTTGGCTGTGCTCAGGGTTGCTGGTTCTGCATTCAGGAATCACTCCTGGGAGAGCTCGAGGAATCAAACCCGGGTTGGCCACATGCAAGGAAAATGCCCTACGCACTGTACTTATTGCTCAGGCCCTTCATGTATGTGTTTTCATATTAATTAAAAATTAACAATTTTCAACTTGGATGGACAGTTGAGTGAGAGCGTAGTTAGAAAAAGGATGGTTGGAGCTGATTTGTTAAAGCAGCAACTCCAAGGTCTTACTCAAAAGTCAGTCTTAAAAGGTGTCAATGGACTCAGGGACTACTGAGTTAGGGATACAATCCCTCATAGGAAAAGGAAAGGGTTGTGTAGGGTGGGCGCAAAAGAACATTTTGGCAAGGAAATAGGACCATAAGTAAAGTGGGGTGACCCTGAGAAGGCACATATTAGTGACTCTGCCACTCCTTGGTCCCAAGTCGACATGAGAGGGTATGTCTATCCACAGGCTACCTAAATCGCCAAAGTCTCCAAAGAGAAGGAAATAAGGAAATTCCTTTTTAAAAAATTTATTTATTTTTGCTTTTTTGGTCATACCTGGCGATGTACAGGGGATACTCCTGGCTCTGCACTCAGGAATTACTCCTGGCAGTGCTTGGGGGACCATATAGGATGCTGGGTGGGGATCGAACGGGGGTCAGCCTCGAGCCACGTGCAAGGCAAATACCCCACCCGCTATCCTATCACTCCAGCCCCGGAGAAAATTCTTGATGCATGATTCCCCGTTCCTATGAAGGCTGTCTCAGGACTACAGCTGTTTTCAGATCAGGAATTAAGTGTAAAGTTAGGCAAACCCCCCCTGGAGGCAGAGGGCCAAGACCAAAACATCCCAGGACTGGACTCTTGATTGGGAGCTGCAGGTAGAAGCAGGACAAAGGGCTATCTGAGCATATAAGAGGTGCCACTTCTGGATTGTGACTCCCCACACCCCCTTCCCTGCCATGAGCCTCATTGTGACCCAACACGCTTATCAGTTTTTAGGTGTCTCTAGGACCTGGTATGGGTGCAGTGTGGGTCTGGGTTGGTGGGGGGGGTGGCCCAGGTGGCCCTAGAACCCCCCCACCATGGAATCCCAACTTCGGTATAACATCCTGGGAAACTGCAATCAGTACCAAGAAAGTCCCCTAGATGCTGAGGCCTCCCTCCTCCTGCTGTTGGGTCTCATCCTGTTTGTCAACATTGGGATCAACGTGACAACTATGGTCAGTAATGGTTGGGGATGGCCCTTAGGGGTGAAGAGGGCTGAGGGTGGGAGCCTGCAGGGGGACTGGGTCTCGCTGGGGACAGGGTGGGGCATGGAGTGAGAGTCTGTCCTTCACTCCCACTCCACCCCATCTCCAGATGTGGCACAGGCTCCAGAATGCCTTAGACAAGATGATCTCCTGGACGAATAAGAAAAGTAAGTATGGCAACTTGAGGTTGGACACCCCCCTCCCCACAGCCACCATCATGATCTTCCTCATATTGTTTTGGGGCCACACCTGATGATGCTTAGGGGTTACTCCTGGCTCTGTACTCAGGAATTACTCCTGGCAGTGCTCAGGAGACCATATGGGATGCTGGGGATCGAACTCAGTTCTGCTGCATACAAGACAACCCTACTGTACTACCATCTGACCCTAGGCTATCTTAATTCTGATAATTTCCCTAAACTCAGGGACTCTTGCCTCCCCCAGGTGAACCCACCAAGCCTCCTGAAAGCTGCCCTAAAGATCACCCAGCCAAGGCCCAAGACCTCCACATCCACTGCTCCCTGGACCCTGTAGAAGTGAAGCTGGCTCAGTCCACTTCTTTTTCCTCATTCCACCATCTCCAAAATCTCTCCTGCCAACGCCACTGCCGACCCCCCCGCCATCGCAGTCGCCGCCACCACCACCACCATCACCACCGCCGCCCACACCATCGCTCCCCCCGACGCACCTGTCCCCACCACCGTCCCTGCAGCCACCAGCCAAAGCAGTTTCCCCAGAATGGCTCAGTTTTCCATAGTAAACAACACTGTTACAGGAGGTTGCATGCACCCTCCTCTAATGGGGAAGACCTGCAGGTCTACCTGGAGGAGGATGACTTGTCATACCCACGTCCCAAGAAGCCACAGAGACCCTGGGGGGGCCTCTGCAAGCGATTAGACCTGGCCTCTAACATGGAACTGTGGGGCCGTAGCGGAGGGATCCTGGCCAGCCTGCCACCACCCTCTCTTTACCTGTCTCCTGAGTTGCGCCTCATGCCCAAGCGTGTGGAGGCCAAGTCTGAGCTGAGGCTGCAGACTTACAGGCCCCACTCCTCACAGTCTCACATCTGGGAGAACGTGGAGGCTGAGCAGTGCACCCTACCTCCACCACCTCCCCGGCGGCTGCCCCTTAACTCTTCCTGTGCCCCTGGAATGCACAGTCCATACCCCTCAAGAGGTCACCTTATGTATGATTCCTGGCATCAGCGGAGGCACTGTCAGCAAAGCTCTGAGGTTCCGTGTGCCCTGGTACCCCGGGGATCCCGGCCCGAGACCCGGGAGCACCACTCCCCACATTCCCACCGGAGAAGCCTCCCCAGCGCGATTTACTGTCAGCCCAACCGCAGCCCACACTCCTCCATGGCACACTTGAGCCACAACAGCCGGGAAACCCATGACGGCCGGCGACGGGCAGCTGAATGGGCTGAGGCACTGCCTGCTCGGCACCCTCTGACCACCTCCACCTCCCTCAGCGTGTTGAATGAGATCCCATGCCAAAGGGGCTCGGTCCCCAATTCAGTCATGCCTCCCCATTCTTCCCAGCCCTCGCCTGAAGTCCAGACTGCTGAGCCCCCCACGCCTGCACCTACCTTCGTGCCACTCAGCCGGAGCCCCGGGGACAAAGCCAACCATCAGGTGTATGACAGCCTGGAATTGAAGCGGCAGGTGCAGGAGAGCAGAGCGCGGGCCAACTCGCTGCCATCGCCCTCCACGTTGGCCTCCAGACCCTCTCTGCAACGGAGCCGGAATATGAAACACAACTAAGGGCAGCCGTGGGGGTGGGCAGGCGTGGAGAGGGCAATAAAAAACAGAGTTCAGGAAACACTGTGGTGTTCTGTGGCTTGGAAGCACCAGTCCCTCAGCCAGTCTGTGTCTTAACCCCGAACTTCTGAAATTTGAAACCCTTGTCCCCTTCTTGCTGGGAGGTTCCCTTCGAGTTGGCCACAGTCTCTCCTCATCCAGCATCAGGCAATGCACTAGCTGTTGCAGCTGGAAGTTCCAAAGCACTGGTTTCTGGATGCCTACTCTCTCTCTCAGATTTCCCTACCTCCACAGGGAGCTCAGATTCTGGAAGTGGGGATCTACATCTGAAAAATAAAGACTGTGACCCAGGCTCAGCAGAAAGATCAAAGCTCTGGTATTCTAGCTAGACCTTCCCCAGGACTCTGAGGCCAAGGACTTTTCAGTGCTGGTCACGATAGTGGAGATGGAGTGTTTAAAGAACTGAGTAGGAGATAGTGAAGGAGTGATTGAGGACGAGAGGACAAGAGGGTTCTACTACCCAGGCTCAGCTGACCTAAACCCTGTTACCAGGGAGACTCAACTCTGGGCCCTCCATTTCTACCCCTTCCCTCAATTGTGACTGCCCCATTATGACCCAGTCCTCCCAACTCCTCCACTAGAGGAGGCTGGGCCCCTAGTGAGTATGCGGGGGGCATGGGGCCCAGGTAGTCCTGGGGCCCCCGGCCATGGGTGAGCAAGCTTACCATGGCGCCCAAGTGTGCTCCAGCGCCAACCCCAGGAAGTGCCAGGACCTAGGAGACTCAATTCTTCTGATTCTGGGCAGCTTCATCTTGCTCAACGTGGGGATCAATGTGGTGACTCTGGTCAGGACTGGGCCTGGGCAGCAAGGTTGGGGGAGACCTGGGGTCTCCAAGGGGCTGACGTGGGAGGGCTGCTGGGATGTGACCAAAGATTTCTGCGTTCACCCAACTTTTGGATTCTGCCCTCCTTCTGCTTTCCTCAGCTCTGGAGGCATCTGAAGAGCTCCTTGCGGATTATTTTCCATCATTTTTTCCCCAAAGGTGAGTAGTTCCATGGAGCACTGGCTCTTGGAGATGCGGGCCTTCTCCCTGCCTGTCTCTCTGTTTCCCTTCTCGACCCTCTGTCTCGTCCCATCCTCTCTTTCCCTGCAGACAAGCAGCACAACTGTCTGGGAGGCCATCCCATGTGTATGCGGTGCTCTCCAAATCCCAAGAATCTGTGCTCGAGAGCCTCCTCCCGCTTCTACCGTCACCCGAGCTTCCCACTTGGGCGCTCTAGCCACCTCGACTCCTGGATGCCAGACATGAGTGATGAGAAGGCTTTTAAGTGCTGTTGGAAGCCCTCTCAGTGTGGACATGGTGGGGCTCCCACAGAAATTCCATGGGAACTGAGCAAGGAGGGGATGGTGGGAGCAGGGGAGGCCCCACAGGCCCAGAACTTAAAGACCCAAACCAACTTCCTCTCCAAGCAAGACGTGTCTTCCCAACCCACCAGAATGAACAAGTTGGATATGGTTCCCCTCCACTTGCCCCAAGAGATCAAGACTAAGACCCCAGACTCTGCCCCTGCGCAGGCCAGTGACCCCTCTTCAGTCCCCACAGCTGAGCAGGTCCCCTTCTCCAAGACAGACCCCCCAGTTCAGACCCCTCAGGATAGCTCCTATCAAGCCCAGATCAGCTCCCCAGTCTCTATTTCTGATCACAGCACCCCCCAGGCCCAGGTCCACTCCCCCACCCTGGAGCATACTCCCACCCAGACCCAGGGCCATGAACTCAACTCAGTTCACACAGTGACCCAGGTCCCAACCCCTGCCCCCTCACATGCCTCAGTCGCCCTGGGCCACACTCCTGAGAACACGACATCCCATGGCCCAGCCCCCATGGTGGGTGCCGCTCATACAACTCATGCCCACACCCATGTCGAGGTCCCTGCCCCAAATTTTGCCCCAGTCACTCCCCTAACTTTTGTTCCAGTTGTTACTGCTGCCCCAGCCCCTACACCAGCCCCTGTCCCAGTCCCCACCACAACCCCTGCCTCCTCAGTCTCTGCTTCTATCCCTGTGCCCACCCCTGGCCCCACCTTGGCTCCTAACCCTGTGACCTTCAACCATGGCCTCTCCACTGGTCATGTGGTTTATGACGCCCGCAGGGTCAAGCAAAACTTATTACAAGTTTGTCCCCCCCAGCACTCTGGTTTCCCCAGAAAAGACCTAGGAGCCCTCATCATGTCCCAGGAGGGACCAGGCCTGTTGAGCTCTGATACACCTGGGCAAGCTTCAAAGCCAAGTGATGAAGACAGTGCCAAGACTTCTATGGGATCCATACTGGGTTACCTGGAGCTGGGAAATATGGAATGGAAGCTCTCAAAGGATGCTGAAGACAAGTTCTCACAGTCCAAATCATTTCCTTATTGCAGCTTCCATCCTTGCAGTTCTGAAGGAAAAACTACAGACCCCCAGGCCTCAGTCTGTCCCAAATTCCTGGTCTATTCGAAGGATGCAGCACCTTCCCAGCCCTGCTTTCATTCTCCAACCAACACTTGGAACTCACAATGCATGCCACCACCATGCACTCTTTCTCTACCACTTGCTCCCCCTCGATCCTTTGTTTTTGATCACCCCAGCAACCACTTGAAGCCTACCCTAAATACTTCTGCCATTCTCATAGCCTCCAAGTCTCCTAGGTCCAGTCCTGCTCCCCAGTGCCCCAACCCTCCCCCTCATTCCATTCCAACCTCATTCCAACCTCAGCCCCCCAAACTTCATGAAAATATAAATTTTACCCAAGACTCTGGACACCATAAGACCCCAGACCCTTCAAAAGAGTCTATAGTTCTCAGGAAACCAGGCCTTAGCCAAAATTTAGGCTTCCATAACAGTGCAAGTCTTTGCAAGGGCCTAGTTCCTTCTCAAGACTCTGAGCTTCACAAGAACCCAATAATTAATGAAGATGTGGGCCCCCCAAAGAATTCGGGTCTTACAAAAGAGACTGATAATTTTAGGAATCCAAGTCTCACCCAACCCTCCGACCTCCACGAGAACATACCATTTCCCAAAAAATCTGACAGTCAGAAGAGCCCAGGTTTTACACGAGATTCAAATGTCTATGGAAATCCAGAACAAAACCAAAAGACTATGGTCTATAAAAATCAAGATGTCTCCCCAAAAAGTTGTCTCCATAACCATTCAGGCCCTTCTCAAGATTCTACAAGTTGCGGAAGTACAGGTAATAGTCAAATGCCAGTAATTTCTAGGAGTGAAGATTCTGGTCCACAGAAATGTGTTTCCCAGGACTCCAGAGTAATCAAGAGCTCAGATCTTTCCCAAGAATCTGGTGTCCAGAAGAATCCGGACTTTGCCCAAACCTCTCATCTCCACAAGGAATCAGGAGACTACAAGAACCCATGTCTTACTCAAGATTCTGACCCTCACAAGAATCTTAGCCTAGCAACTGAAGCTAAACAGAGATTTGTTTTTGCCCATGGTGTTGGAATTTGCAGGAATCCAGAAAACAGTCAAGATTCCAATTTCCAAAAGTACCCAGGAGTTCATCAAAATTGTGATCCCAGTAAGAAACATGTCTTTATTCAAGACTCTGGCCAGCTCAAGCATATAGGTGTTTCCCAGGAATCCACTCCAAATCATGACCACAAGCCAAATGACCTTGCTCGAGGTATTGGATCTGTCCAAGTCTTGGGTCCACTTCAGGCCCCCAAATCAACAGAGTCCCCGATGAAATCATTTGTATCTAAGGAGTGTCCTCAGGAGAATGCAGAGCCACATGTGTCATGGATTTCTATTCCACCCAATCATAATTCCTGCTCTTCCAAGTGCCAGGTGGTCCACAATGACCTGCAGACCTTCTCAGAGGTACCCGTGCTAGTTGAGTTGCAGCCGTCCACCAAGCAAACAGGAAGCCAGGACTGGGTATACCACCCTGTAAATATAGCTCCTTCAGTCTGCCAGAATTATCGCCAGATGTCTGTGCCTCCCAAAAGCAACTGGAAGCCCTACTATCCTGGGCCAGGCACTCGATTAGGTCATGTGGTCTTTGATGCTCGTCAGAGACAGTTTGGAGTGGGCAGGGACAAGTGTGAAGCTCTATTTCCCAGGCGCTTTCGTCCAGACATAGCCAGTAATTCAGCAGAGTGGGAATATCAGTATGTTATGAGGAACTTTGACAAAGAGGGGACAAAAATGCATCAAGAATAAAGAGGAGAGAAAAGTGTTTTGTGGTTGTTTGAGAACATCCACCCAAGTCCTTCTTTTCTTTTTGTTTTTTGTTTTTTTGGGTCACACCTGGCGATGCGCAGAGGTTACTCCTGGCTTTGCATTCAGGAATTACTCCTGGCAGTGCTCAGGGAACCATATGGGATGCTGGGAATCGAACCTGGGTCAGCCGTGTGCAAGGCAAACCCGCTGTACTATCGCTCCAGCTCCACAAGTCCCCCCCCCTTTTAAATTCAGGGATAGAGCCTGGTACTCACACACTCAAGGTAAGGGTTCTATTGTTGAGCCACATCCCTGGTCCTCAGTCCCATTTCAGCTCGGGAGGGTTAGGGCTACACTGGCAGTGCTCAAGGTCTGTTCCTGGTTCTATGCTCAGGGGTCACTCCTGGTGTTCTTGGGATAGAGCTGGGATGGGAACATACAAAACAAGGCAAGAGCCTTAACCCCTAACCCTTAAATGTCTGGAAACCCTTCCCTCTCATCCAGCCCCATTCTGAATCCCTGCCCTGCACATACACCCAGACTCTCTTTTTTTGTTTTTTTGGATCACACCTGGCGATGAACAGGGCTTACTCCTGGCTCTGCACTCAGGAATTACTCCTGGTGGTGTTCAGGGACCATAGGGGATGCTGGGGATTGAACCCAGGTCAGCCGCTTGCAAGGCAAATGCTCTACCTGCTGTGCTGTCACTCTGGCCCCCCAGCCTCACTCTTAATGCTGCTCATCGACAAGACCTGCTGATGAACGATTCCTGTTCCTGCTTTGTCTTCATGTTTGCAGAACTAAATCCTGAGCCCCAAGAATTAAATTCTCAAATGTAGGACACCTGTAGAAGCGATAGAGGTCACTCCAAAAGCCTCCGCCCCACTCGGCCCAGCAAGCTACCAAGGGTATCCTGCCCGCACAGCAGAGCCTGGCAAGCTACCCATGGCGTATTCGATATGCCAAAAACAGTAACAAGGGGTCTCATTCCCCTGACCCTGAAAGAGCCTTCAATACGGCAGCATTGGGAGGGACGAGTAAGGAGAGGCTGCTAAAATTTCAGGGTTGGGATGAATAGAGACGTTACTGGCGCCCGCTTGAGCTAATCGATGAACAATGGGATGACAGTGACAGTGACAGTAGCCACTAACAAAAAAAACTACAATAATGTAAATTCAGGCCCTGTGGAAGGTTTAGAGCTCCTCCTTTGCAAGCTGTGGTAGTTCATATCTCTGGAGTCCTGCATGGTACCCCTAGCACTGCTGGGTGTGGTCCCAAAGTGAGCACTGCACCCAGGAGTAGCCCCTGAACACCACATTTGGTGTCTACCCCCATGCACCCCCAAAAGAATGTAGAATGCAAATTGGATACAATTTTAAAATTCTGTTCCTTGGTCTCACTTTTAGTACTCAGGTAGACTGTGGCTACTGGATTGGACAGCACCGATTTAGAGCAGCTCCATCAAGAGTAATATGCATATCCCTTCCCTAAGTCAGGTCACCCCCTTATTCCTAATATTGCCACCTTGATTCCAAGGAGATAAAGCAATGGTTGTTTTGTTTTGGGGACACACCCAGCAGTGCTCAGGGGTTACTTCCAACTCTGCACTCAGGAGTTACTCCTGGCAGTGCTCAGGAGATCATGAGGGATGCAGCGGATAGAACCTAGGTTGGCCATGTGCAAACACCCTACCCATTGTACTATCCTCTGCCCCAAAGCAACGTTTTAGATTTTATTTTTGTTATTTTTTGCTTTTTGGGTCACACCCGGTGATGCACAGGGGTTACTATTGGCTCTACACTCAGGAATTACCCCTGGCGGTGCTCAGGGGACCATATGGGATGCTGGGAATCGAACCTGGGTTGGCCACAAGGCAAACGCCCTACCCGCTGTGCTATTGCTCCAGCCCCACGTTTTAGATTTTAAATATCTAAACTTTCTCTTGTTGCCATCCACAGCATCCTCAAAACTCACCCTTGTGAGATAGCTTGAATGGCAAAGTATATGCTTTGCATGTGTAGGCCCTGAGTTCAAACCCCAGCAGAACATGGCCTCCAAGCACTGCTTGTGTGGCCCTGGGGAAAAAGAAAAAATATATATCACAAAGAAAAGTTACTCTTAGAAAGCATAGAGAACTTGTTTTTAGTTTGTTTGGTTTTATTTTGGGGAAAATGATCCCTGGCTTTATGCTCAGGGATCATTCCTGGTGGAGATTTGGAGATCATATGCAGTGCTAAAGAAGGAACCAGGGTCAAGTGCCTTAATCTCTGCCCTATCTCTGAGAACTTGTTTCATTTTTGTTTTGTTTTGTTTTGTTTTTGAACCACATGGCTATGCTCAGGACTTACTCCTAGCTCTGCACTCAGGATCACTACTGATGGTGCTTGGGGGATCATATGGAATGCTGGGGATCAAACCTGGTTTGCAGATAAGGCAAGCGTCTTACCCACTATACTCTCTCCACACCTCCCACACTCCAAAACCTTTTTTTAAGGGTGGCTCAGAGGCCATCATTGGGGAGGAAGGCAAGATGGAGATATATCCCAGACAGTGAGAAAGACCTCAGTCAGCACCAGATTTTATCAATCTGGTCTCTTGAATCACAACCAGCTGTATGAAAATCTATTTCCCTAATTATGTGTTGTGTTTTGGGGCTCTCGGTTGTTGGGGAGAAGAGCTCTCTTTGTCAGTGACTTGGTGCCACAGAGATAGGGGCTTCCCAAATTGAGCTCAGGTACTGCAACTTTAAAGATGAGCGTACGCCACAACCAGGTAATGGAACCTCTAGTGAGCCTATGTGAGCACCACCATGCCCCCAGGCAAGCACTATAACCATGCTTTAGGTACCTCAAGAATACAAGTGTACAATCACCTCTACTAAGGGAATACACACTGATCATGGTGACCACTGCTAATACTTGTGTTCAGCCAACCTGAAATGCAGCTCTTTGGTGGCCCACAGATACTACAGTAATAGTGGAAGGAGGACTAGAGGATGAAGGAAGAAAAAGAAATAGCAGTCTTGGGAACTGGAGAGAGAGTACAGCGGGGAGGGTGCTTGCCTTGAACACAGCTTCCCCAGATTTGATCCCTGGCATCCCATGTCGTCCTCCGAGCACCACCATAAGTAATTCCTGAGTACAGAGCCAGGAGAAACTCCTTAGCATCCAAAACAAAACCAAAAAAATGTCCTTGGGGCTGTCTAGATAGTACATCAGGTAGGGTGCTTGTCTTGGCACCTGACCAAGCCAGGCTCCATCCCTGCTACTGTATATGTTCCCCTGAGCCCTGTCAGGAGTGATCCAAGAGCACATCCAGGAGTAATCCCTGAGCACCATTGCGTATGGTCCAAAAAGCAAAATAAAGGTTTTTGTTTTCATGGGCCACAGTTAGCAATGCTCAGGGGTTAGTCTTGGCCTAGCGCTCAGGAATTATTCCTTGGGACCATATGGGATGTCAGGGATTGAACCCAGGCCAGCCACATGCAAGGCAAACACCTTTCCTGCTGTACTATCTCTCCAGTCTCATTGAAACGAAGTTTTAATTTCATGGAAAACCCCTTCTAGGGCTAAGCCAAGGCTCTTCTACCCACACATGGGATGTGCAGATCCCTGTTACCTCCAGACTCTAGCGTACAGCCTCCATTATTGTTTGATATTCAGATTCATCCTCTATTCCAATTTCCAACCTTGTCTGTGTATGGCTGGCTTGTGCTTAGAAAGATAAGAGGCGTTTGTCTCCATAGAAACTACAACTTCCATCAGTCTCTACTTTAGCGGAACAGGAAAGGCTGTGAGGGAGTGCCCCTCCCTCCTACCCCCGCCCAGGTATTACGGAAGACGAACTACAACTCCCATTAGAGCTTCAGGAGAGACTACACTGTGATCTCACCCTGAGGCGGGACCTGCGGGAACCACACGCACAGCATACAGAAAGGGGCGTGGTGGAAGTTTAGGGGTGTGACCTTGTGGCAGCAGGAAGAAGTTACCTGTAGAATATTCTATCCATTCTCTTCCCAGTCCGGGCAGCTGACCCTAAGAGGGAAGTTACAGAGTTTCAGCGTCTTGCTAAAAGAGGTAAGAGGAAATAAGAGCAGCCTAGGAGACGGCCCTTCTACACATACAAGGGGTCCAACTGCCACTTTTCACCTGCGAGTCGGATAACAGCCTATGAGGGCGGGACCAGCATGAGAAAAGGAAAAGGACGGCGGAGATCTTTATTCCGTTTCAAGACTGCCTTTGGAATCCATCCACAGATTCCTATGTGGAGTGAGGAGCACTCAGCCTTGGGAGCAGAGTACTACTAGGGTGATTTTTCCACAGAGAAGAAAAGAAGTATCTACGCTCCCTCGACTTGGAGTTTTCCCTAACCAAATACCCAGCGTCACATGGCTTCTGCCATCTGGGGGACTACACCCTGGTGGGGCCCCCCTCCCCCAGCCCCAGCGCGGCCTCTCACAGACATAGACTTCTGTTCTGGGGCACAACTGCAGGAGCTAACCCAGCTGATCCAGGAGCTGGGTGTACAGGAGAGCTGGAGCCAAGGGCCCAACCCGGGGCCAGACCTCCTCCAGGCCAAAGACTTTGTCTTCTCTTTGCTAGGTAAGTAACCTCTCCTGCCCTCCGGAACTTGCAGCTCTCCACCCAGCCCGGGCTCTGAGTCCTGCCCTGACTCTCCCTTCTCTTCCCTTCAGGTCTTGTTCACCAAAGGGACCCCCGCTTTCCTCCCCAGACAGAGCTCTTGCTGCTTCGTGGTGGGATTCGTGACGGTTCCCTCGACCTTGGACCAGCACACCTTGGGCCCTACACCAGGGGACCGCACTACCACACGGGCTTCACACTCCTGGTGCCAGTGTTTTCACTAGAGGGCTCTGGGCAAGAACTGCAGCTGGAAGTTCAGTCCTCTTCAGCATGGCTCTGCCTCCCAGAGCTGATTGACGGAACTGCAGTCAGGGAGGCATGGCAGGACTGCCTAGGACCCCCAGTCCCAGACGGATGTGGCTGCACTCACAGAGCCAAATGCCAAGACGGGACTCCCTTGGATCTGCGAGGCTCCATGGATCGGCCCCATGATTCTATCTCTGAACCGGGCCCACAAGTGTCTTTGGAAGAACTACCTAGTAACGTTTCAGGGTCAGAGTCCACCCCGCCGTCCCGACCAGATCTGGATTTTCCCGTTCCGTGGAAAACACCGGATGATGATGTCACCGAGGCGCCCGGCCTTGGCTCTGCCCCACGGCCGTCTGAGGTCCAGGAGGCATGGCCCACGTTGTGTGCTGCCCAAGTCGCCGCGTGGTTCTTTGCTTCGCTGGCCGCCGTGGCCGAGTGCCTGTTCCCGGTGCCGGGGGCCCCCCGTTTGGTCCACGCGGCACGCCACGCCGGTTTCACCACCGTCCTTCTAGCTACGCCTGGGCCCCCCCGTCGCCTGCTGCTCTTCGACCTAATACCCGCGGTATCTGTAGCCGGTTGGCCCGAGGGGGCTCGGAGCCACTCGTGGGCCGGCCCACTGGCCTCGGACTCGCCGTCCTTTTACCTGGTGCCCGGCGGCCACGGCGAAGGGCCGGGCGCCTCCGCCTGGCAGCTCTGCTTCGCCCGCCAGGAGCTGGCGCTCAAAGCGCGCATCCCGGCCCCGCTGCTGCAGGCGCACTCGGCCGCCCAGGCGCTGCTGCGCCCGCTGGTGGCCGGCACGCGGGCCTCGGCGCCCTACCTCCTGCGGACGCTGCTCTACTGGGCGTGCGAGCGGCTGCCCGCGCTCTACCTGGCTCGGCCGGAAAACGCCGGCGCCTGCTGCCTGGGGCTGCTGGATGAGCTGGGCCGAGCGCTCGAGGCCGGGGCGCTGCCGCACTATTTTCTGAGCGGCCGGAAGCTCCTCGCGGGCGACGGCGCGGCGCTGCTCGGAGCGTTGGCTCGGCTGCGCCGGGACCCTTCGGGGGCCCTGAGAGCCGCGGTGGAAGAAGCCAAGGCTGCGCGCAAGGGGGGCGGCCCAGCTGGCGCGGGCGGAGAGGCCCAGTGAGGACGCCGCCCCTCGGCGACGCGCGTGGAAAGCGCTCCTCTGGGCCACGAGCGCGGTGGAGGGGGCTGTTCGAGGCCCTCGCCCCCAGGCAAGCCGTGTGTCCCTGGGTCCCAGGCCCAGGTTCCCACTGCAGACGCCTCACCCCCTTCCGCCCCTTCCCGGGCCCTGGCCCTGGTGCTCGTGCCTCGTTCCGAATCCCAGGCCAGCACGATTCCCACCCTGGAGCAGCCTCCGGCCACCCTTGTCCCAATCCTCATGGCCTTGAAGCAGAGCTTGGGGACCACGAACTGACTCACTGGGGCGGCAAGGCCACGAGAGACGAAGAAGCTAAATTACGCCCGGGCTAGATGCCACTACCGTCTCCCATTTCCTGCTCTTCTCCCATTTTGTTCGTGCGGCTCCATCCTCCCGTCAGGGCAGAACCCCGTCTCCGTCCTCGGAGCTGCGGTCTCCCTGGAGCCCACCCTCTCCGTCCCCCGCTTCTGTCGAGTGCAGGCGCCTCGTTCCTCCTCTTAGCCCCGAGACGTGCGGCCTCCCGAGCTCCACCGCCTCCCGGGCCGTGCTCACCCGCCGCCTCGGAGGAACCCCGGGGTTCCACCCGCCCAGCCTCGCCACCCCCACTTTCCTGGCGTCTCCGCCCCCCGCCCCGCCCCCGGGCCGGCTCTCGGAGGAGGGGGAGCTCCTGCCGCCGCCGCCGCCGCCGCCTCAGCTTCCCCGGAGCTTCCCGCAGCCGCCGCCGCCGCCGCCGCCGCCGCCGCCGCCGCAGCCACCGCTCTGCTGGGTCCAGCCACCGGGCCCAGTGCTTTGACTTCGCCGGCGATCTGCGGAGACACCCTCCTTCCTTCCTGGGGGTCCGGGGCCCCTAGCCTGGCTCAGAGGGCAGCTCCCCTTGCGGGAGACAGGGAGGGAGGAGCCTGAAGCCGGAGCCAGCTACACCCGTCGCCGGATCAACGAGACAGGACAGGTCGAGGGGCGTCGGGGAAGAGGGGTGCTGTGAGCAGTCCCGGGGAGGTCGAGGAAGCTGTGGCCGAAAGCCCTGTTTCTGACTCGTGGGGGGTCTGTTCACATTTGGGGACTGGTGACAACGTGGGTGCACTTCTCCCAGGGGGCTGGTTGAATTGGAGGACGTGGATCTAAACAGCACCAGCTGTCCCCAAGAAAATTAAGGGGCAGTCGTAAAAATGCTCCTTGTTTTGAGGTGACAGGGCTCTCCAGACAATCCCTGGCTAGATGTACTAAAAAGGCAGATTTGGAGGTGACTTCAAAGAAGATTCGGAGGGTGACAAGGGGAGGAAAGGGTCTCAGCAGCTCGTGGTACGAGAAACGGGGGTGAGCTGGTGAGAAAGACAGGTATCCGGAGATTAAATCCTGGCATGCCTTCTCACCGAAGAGTGACAGTTTGAGTGTCTAAGACAGTCTGGGGTTGAGGGGCGAGTGGGATCCTCCCCACGGAGAGGGTGGCCTCGGAAAAGTCACAAGGTTGGGTTCCTCCTTGACATTGGCATCGCCCCAGTAGGGGTGGATGAGCTGAGAACCCACACTTTTCCGATTATAAGAGATAGGGTGAGAAATGCCTGGGGATACGGGCACATCTTGGAAATTTTGAGGGTCTTGGCGCTGGGGGTAAGAGGTAGTGGGGAGAGGGACGCTGGGCAGCTGGAAGGGGGAGTTTTAAGCAGGAACCAAAGTGGAGGGCGGGTCAGCCGAGAGGTCCATAGGCTGCTGGGTGCGGTGAAGGCGGGCGGGGGGCTTTATCCTCAAGTCCTGTGGGTGGGGCGGCGGACTGGGACTCGGGCGTCTAGGGCATGCCCTAGTGAGCTGGCTTCGGGGGCGAGTCCAGGGCGCTCCGGGCGCCTGCCGGTTTGGGGGTGTCTCCTCCGGGGGAGCCATGGCGGCGCTGGCCAGTAGCCTGATCCGGCAGAAGCGGGAGGTCCGTGAGCCCGGGGGCAGCCGGCCAGTGTCGGCGCAGCGGCGCGTGTGTCCCCGCGGCACCAAGTCCCTTTGCCAGAAGCAGCTGCTCATCCTGCTGTCCAAGGTGCGACTGTGCGGGGGGCGGCCCGCGCGGCCTGACCGCGGCCCGGGTGAGTGGCTAGCGCGGGGTCGCTCTGCCTGGGAGGTTGAGGCCAAGGACTCCGGGATTCTCAGTCCCAGGGCCCGACCGAGGGGGGCTCCGCAGAAGTGGAAGAGGGTGGGTCAGGACCAAGTTTCGGCCAGGTTTCCCTGCCCGTCACCCCGCGTCTCCTTGCTTCCGAGGGCAAGGGGAAAGCGCCAGGGGCTCAGGGGCTCAGGGGCTCCGCGCCCCCACCCCGTGGCTGGAGTCCCCACCCCCACCGTCCTCCGCCTGCGTGCCGGCTCTCGCGATCCTTTCCGTGCCGGGCGGAGGGGCCGGGGTTCCGGCCGCCTGGGTCACCCGAGGGGTGCTGCGGCCCCGGCATCCCCGCCCCGCCCGCCGCTCCCGCTCTTCGTCGCCTGGACTCGGTTCCTCCCGGCTGAATCGGCCTGGCTCGGCTCCAGATTTCCCACCCGGTTGTCCCCCGGGTGTCCTTGCCAGAACGCCCCTCTGTGTGCCCTCCTCCAGTGGCCCGCGGAACTGGGCAGCCCCCGTTACTCCCGACGCGACTCTAAAATTGGGTCCCAAACACCCTCTGCCCGGAGGAACTCGTACACAGTTCGGGATGGGAGGGGGTGGAGGAGGTGGTACCACCGACAAGGGCGCCAAAGAAGTCGCCGAGACCCAGCGGCCGGGAAGGAGAGCCTTTGAGCGTCGGCGTGTGATCCCCGCGATCCCCGTCCAGGTCCGACAGACAGCGTCCCTCCGGCCCCACTCCCGCTTGCCCCCAGCTCCCGGCCCGGAGGCCCCAGGTGCCATCCCCCCCTGCAGTGGTACGGTCCGCAGCCCACCCTTGGAGTGGGACCCGGCGCCCACGTGACTCAGCCTGCCTCTCCGTCTCCCGACCCTCTTCTCCTTGCTCTGGGACCGAATGCCCCACCCCAGCCCCAGGTAGATTACCTGGCTGAAGGGGAGAGGCTGCAGCCCCAGGAGGGCGGCCCCCCGTGAGCCGACAGACTGACAGACAGACTGACAGATGGGTCAGTGTCAGACAGGCGGATGTTGGGCCAAGACAAGGGCCGAGCCAAGCGAGCGGCGGCAGCCGCCGCAGCAGCAGGTGCTGAGTCAGCGTCAGGTCCAGTCCGCCCATCACTCCTGAGGGGGCGCCTCCACCCTGTGGTCACCTTCCCGCCCCCTACATCCGCACACTTTTATCCCTTGGCATCCCTCCTGTGTCCCCCAGTCCTGCCTTTTGACGTATCTCTCCCCCTCCTCTTTCCTCTCCTCCCCTCCCCCCTTCTGATTGAGCTGTATTAAACAGTCTTACTGAGGAATTAAACCCAAACCGTTTCAGTTGCTTGAATTGACAGAGGGAGTAGATAGAACCCCCACCCCGGTTTCTCTGGGAGTCTGAGATGGGAGAGAGTTGCCTTAAGGGGTTTGAGAACTGAAGCCTTGGAAGCCTCGGGACCCTCTTCGCTTTCTCCATTCTCCTTCCCTCAGATTCCACCAAGTGTGGGAACGTTTCTGGATACAAAGATGTCATTTTCAAAGATGATTGTCTCTCCCTCCAGAGCCTCAGCTCAAAGGCATCGTCACGAAACTGTTCTGCCGCCAGGGTTTCTACCTCCAGGCGAATCCCGACGGGAGCATCCAGGGTACCCCAGAAGACACCAGCTCTTACAGTGAGAGGGGAAGCCGGTTCCAGGGTGGGAGGTGGAGAATGGGGACAGAACAGAATGACATTCTACTCTCTCTTCAGGGTCTGTTGTTCCTTTGGTCTCCCAAGGGAAGCATTGGAACTGGGTTGGGGGGGAACTCAGATGGGGGTTCTGGGGCTGAGGTAATCATGCCCCCCTCTCTCCACCCCCAGCCCACTTCAACCTGATCCCTGTGGGGCTCCGTGTGGTCACCATCCAGAGTGCCAAGCTGGGTCACTACATGGCCATGAACGCTGAGGGGCTGCTCTACAGCTCGGTGAGACGAGGCTGAGTGGCTTGGGGTAAAGGGGACTCCACCCAGCTACAATCTTCTCAACCACAGCTGCGGGATGTCACAGCTCAGGACTTCCTTTCCCTCCAACGCCTGTTGGTGTCTTGTTCTCACTGCCCACGTCAGTAGTCAGTATACCTCCGGCCAGGATTCTCTCAGATGCTTTCACCTCAAAACAGCACCCTCCCCCCCTTCCCCACCCCCACCCCCCCATAGTCTCAGGTTCTTTGCTTTTTGTTTGCTTTTTCTTTCTTTTTGAAGTGGAGAATCCAACCCAGGCTTCTTATATGTGCATCATGTGACCTAACCACTGAGCTACATCTCTGACCATCCCAGTCTCTTTGAATATCTAATTTTTCCTGCTTTTTAGGGCCCCTGTTTCTTACCCTACCTCCTCTGGACTTTCAGAGTCGTTAAGGATAGGGGCTGGTGAGAGGTGGGGAGAAGAGTGAAGAGAATGTGTCTTCTTCCAGCCCCACCCCCACCCCCAAATCTAGTTTCTTGCCCTCTGGGGCCTGCTAGACTCATCTTCTCTTTCTCCTTGTTCCTGCATGGACTTAGCAATTGGCCTTCCAAGCCCAAATGCCTGGCTTGTATCCTGTCTTATTCTTCCCAGCGCTTACTTCTGCCCAGTGATGTCTTCTGTCTCTCTGTCTGTGTGTGTCTCTCTGGGTCTTTGTCTCCTCAGCCACATTTCACAGCTGAGTGTCGCTTTAAGGAGTGCGTCTTTGAGAATTACTATGTCCTGTATGCCTCTGCTCTCTACCGCCAGCGTCGTTCTGGCCGGGCCTGGTACCTGGGCCTGGATAAGGAGGGCCGAGTTATGAAGGGAAACCGAGTCAAGAAGACCAAGGCAGCCGCCCACTTTGTGCCCAAACTCCTGGAAGGTGAGTGTGGATCCAAGGAAAGGTGGGCTGCCTAAAAGGCAGAGCTTGACGTGAACATTTAGTGACACACAGCTCAGGAGCAACAAGTGTTAAGTGAATACTTGTAATGTCGGGTGAAACCAGGAAGTCTTTGGTCATTGGAGTTTGGGGAGAAGTCTTCCTGTGGACTGGGGCTCCTGGATGGAAGGGAAGGGCTCCCTTTCAAAGCTCGGGTTCTGCCTAGGTTTCTCTTTCACTAACTCTCCTTCTTATTCCTTTCTTTCCCTTTCACAGTGGCCATGTACCGGGAGCCTTCTCTCCACAGTGTCCCTGAGACCTCTCCTTCCAGTCCCCCTGCCCCCTGAAGTATAGTCCCTGGACCGAAGGCTCCCTGCAGCTGCACTGAGCCAGCCATCACCACAGCCTGACTTCCAGCCCTCTTCCTGGCCCTGCTCTTACCCCCCTGCCACACTCATGTCCTCAGTAGCCAGGTCCCTCCAGGTGCTCTACGCTGACAGAACCTAGAGACTGGCAGTGACTTCTGGGGCTGCTGAGACCTGTAGATCCTTTGGAGCAGGGATGACCGAAAATAGCTTTGACCGATCACTTTTTTCCTTTCACACGCACATACCCTCCAAGCCTTTTCCTGAGGTGGCACTGGAGGGTTCCCAAACTGACAGAACCAAGGTATAAATACTCCTCAGCACAGGCTCCACCAGGTTCTGGAGTCTTATGCCCTTTTCATTGCCACTGAGCCATAGATTTATAGGTCCACTTGAGCTCAGGATTAGTTTCCTTCTTTCCCGACTCCACCTTCTGCCTTGTTCTGGACAGGTTCTAGACTCCATGCATACCAGTCAGGACCATTTCTGTATTAGGGCTCTGTACTGGAATGCAGATATTCTGCCGGGCTCTGTTCTGGATCCATCGGGCTTCTGTCCTTGACCCAAACGGACCCTTAGTTTTCAAGAAGAGAGAAGCTGTATTTGAATCCTGTCCAGCTATTGGCTTTGGCCTGAACTAGGACCAGTCTTAGATGACCACAAGTTTGACTTTCTCTTTTTTTAATTAAAAAAAAAATTGGGCCACACCCGGTGCTCAGGGGCTACTCCTGGCTGGGTGCTTGGGGGTCGCTCCCGGCGGTGCTCGGGGAACCATGTGGTGCCGAGTATTAAACCTGGACCTCCTGCATGCAAGGCATGTGCTCCCACACACTGAACTATCTCTCTATTCCAAATCTAACCTTCTTATCCCAGAGACACCCAATTCCAGATTATGGTGTTCTAAGAAACACAAGGAGCCAAGCTTCCTTCTGAATCTCAGCGCTAGTATATAGACCACAATCCTTTGTCCTTCCCTCCAGGATTGGACTGGAGCCAATATAGCCATATTATTGCTCTAGAGTAAATTCTAGACCCAGCCTCCCACATTCTCTAATGATATTTTTTAGGGATGGAAAAATCCAGTTATAATTCATAAGGAAGTAAGTTCAGGATAAATCAAGAACCACTTCTTGTTTTTCTTCAATAATTAAAAAGAAATCTTATTCTTCCTATAGAAAACTAACCTTATTTTCACATGCAGTTTTTTAGCTCTTGCAACTCAGCAGGGATCTGCCAGGGAAACAGAATGTGAGGAAGGGCAGAGAAGTTTTGAAAGGAATGCTGGCTCACAGTAGGGAAGTTGGGATGAGGAATAGGCCACATAACCAAGACCTGATTGAGTCTGTGCCTGGGTTGGGGGGATATGAACACTTAGCTACCTCAGCAGGAATTCCTTCCAGGTCCCCTTTAAAGTTGAGGTTTTTAGGGTAATGGGTCTAGAATAAAAAGGACAAAACAGGAGATAGCCTTGGCCATCCCAGTAAGGAGAGCCCAGAGTCCTATCTATCAGTAAGCTCTACCGTCCTTCTCCAGTACAGATCAGGTCAAGAAGGGTGAAGGCCAATTGATCTCTAGACCTCATTATACCTCCAGAGCTTCTAATTAAGTAGATCCTGCTTCACCTTACAGCTTATAACCTCAGCTGGGTTTTTACGTACCCAGAAAGGGTCTGCCTAGGTTTTTCTGAAAAAAAAAAAATGCGGAGAGCTAGAGGTAGGCCTGATAAAAGAACTCACTAATGCTTTAGGGGAGACTTTTGAGTCTCAGACTTAGGCAAGGTAGACTGAGAGGCCCTGAAAAGGGTGAGGAAGGAGGTCATTTTCTTCAGGCTCTATTTCTGGCTTAATGCAAGAGGGGTAAATGCTCCCCTCACCCACACCCGCCCCCCCAACTCCCCCCCAGGCCCCACCCATCTCCGGGCACTGCCCTAGGGGACTGGATTTCCACTCCTTGCTTTCTCAATTAAAGACGATTTTTACAACCCACGTGCTGTCTGTCATCAGTGGGTGGCGGGCATTGGCAGTTGCTCCGGGCGGGCGGTATCAAGCCCCAGGGGCTCCCTCTCCCCCCCTTCCCCTTCGCAACAGGTGCACATTCCTCAAAGGCTCGTCACTTCCCCTGAGCTGGCCGTCCTGGCGGCTCACTGAGAGAACTCCGCTGAGCGGTGCGGCCAGACTATGACCCCAGGGGTGCTGCTTCTGTTGCTGGGGGCATTAGGGGCGCAACTCGCCCAGGGTAAGTCTGGGCTTCAAAGAGACAATGACAGGGCCAGCATTTGTGGCTGGCCGCCATGATTTCACTCAGTGCTCTCGCCCTCCAGGCATCATCGGTCCGGAGGCGGAGGGTCGACTCCGAGAAAATCTCTTCTCGGGTTATGATAGCTCGGTGCGCCCAGCGCGGGAGGTGGGAGACCGCGTCGGGGTCAGCATTGGTCTTAGCCTGTCGCAACTAATCAGCCTGGTGAGGTTCCATGCGGGGATTTGAGGTCAGGCCTACAGAACAGCCCGGGTGCGTGGCTTTAGGCGGGGCAAGACCTAGCGAGCCGGATGAGGGCGGGACCAGACTGTAAACAGACCAATGAGAGGTGGGGGCGTGGCTAGAGGCCTGGTCGAAGAAAGATCCGATAGGGTGCCAAAATCCTGCGGGCGGAGCCTAAAGTAGAGCTTTTTGCGGATGGACTTGAATAGAAGGGCGTTAAAGGCCCGGTCAGGGGGTGGGCGGGGCTTGGTCGCGGAGCGGGTCAGTAAACCACGTCCGGCCGAGATTCAGGGTTGGGTGAATCACGAATTGTGCAAAAGGTTCCGGGTAGAATTGGGGGACGATTGGACTGAGGCGGGATTGGTGATTTGAATCTTCAGTTTAGTAAAGTCAACTAGAAAGTTTCTGAAACGGAGGCGGTGCTTAAGTAAAGATAGCTTTGAGGGGGCGGGGCTTGGACCTAAGAGGGAGGCTGTCAAAGTGTGACTTTTTCTAGAGAGCTCTTGACTGTCCAGTCCGCTTATTTCTCTCCACTCACATCACCTTTACCCTTTAAATTTTTCCCTTTTAGAACGAGAAAGATGAGGAGATGAGCACGAAGGTGTACTTAGATCTGGTACGGAGACCCCGCGGGGGTGGAACGTGATCTGCTGCCCCTTTTCAACAATGTCCTTGAATGTCTTGCGCAGTAAGACTATTCTTTTTGCAGCGTGACCTCAGAAAATAGTCTTTAAAACAGAAACGGGGACTGGAACGATGATAGTACAGTAAGTTAGGGCGCTTGCCTTGCAGGCGGCCTACCCGGTTTCAATCCCGGGACCCCACTGCGCTCCCCTGGGTGAGAATCAGGAATAAGGAATAAGCACTGCGGGGTGTGCCCCCAACAAAACATGCAAACAACCCCAAAACCAACCAATCAATAAAACAAAAACAACTGAAACAGAAGCTTCGGAAAGCAATTAACATTTCTACTCATGGAATTGCACTTCATGCATCTCTATGTTCTCTCACTTCTCCTCAGTGACAGGAAGGGCAGGAGATCTTAATACATGCAAGGCTCTCTGGCCCCATACTTGAAGCATTTTTTATTTTATTTTATTTGGGGGAGAGTTTGTGGGCCACTTTGGACAATGCTTGGTGGCTACTGCAGCTTCTGTGCTTGGGGGTCGTTGCTCCAGAGTGGGGGATCTGCCACATGACAAGTGCACATTGGGTCAAGTGCCATGACCCCTGTATTATCTCTCCAGGTCCCCATTAAAAAAATTTTTTTGAGTTGGAGCAATAGTACAGTGGGTAGCTAACCGGAGTTCAATTGTGGCACCACACATGGTTCCCCAAGTACTGTCAGCAGTGATCTCTGATCACAGAGCCAGTAGCCAGTAGTAACTACTGAGTACAGCCAGGCGTGGCAGCTCTCTGGCCTTTAAAATGTTTTGGTTTTTTGGCTTCTGGGCCACACCCAGCAGTGCTTAAAATATGTTTTTTTAACACTGATTTGAGGTCGCAAATTTGATTCAGATGGCAATTTGAAAACACTGTTTTAGACAATAGCTAATCCAATCTATTTTAGACATTAAGAAAAATGGGTACCATAAAGAGGGAAGAGGAACTTAGCTTACGAGATCCCAGATAGTGTCGGTGAAACGGGAATGAGAAACACCCCCATACCTACACACACGCGCCTGTACTGCTCCCCTTTGCTTCCCCTTCCCAAACTTCCTTCGGACTTGTCAAGTATCCTCCTCCCAGAGCGCTCCTCGGTCTCTGCTTCCCTAGGAGTGGAAAGACTACAGACTTAGCTGGGACCCCGCGCAGCACGAGGGCATTGATTCACTCCGCCTTCCAGCCAATGCCGTGTGGCTTCCAGACATCGTGCTCCTAAACAAGTAGGATTTTCCTAAAGCCCGGGAATGAGGCGGGGACTCTTGTAGGGCGGGGCCACCAGGGCCGTGCCTGTTCCCAGATGAGCGAAGATTCCTTTCCTGCAGCAATGACGGCAATTTTGACGTTGCTCTGGACATTAACGTCGTGGTGTCTCCTGACGGGTCTGTGCGCTGGCAGCCTCCAGGCGTCTACCGCAGCAGCTGCAGCATCCAGGTCTCCTACCGTCTCCTAGGAAACTAACGGTGCTCTTAGAAACTTCCTTTTTCCTCTGACAACCTGACTCAGGCTTCCCATCCCACCTCTATTAGCTCTCATTACTCTCACATCTCTTTCGCCCTTTCAGTTTTTCCTGGAGTTCCATCTCCTCTGTACATTTTATTTGCAACTCTCCTCAAAGGTTTCTCTTCAGTTTTTAACAGCCTCCCCTTAATCTTCCTATTCCTCTATCCCTGTAACCATTCTTCTGCTGATCCCTAGCTCCCTGGTGTCCCCGTTTCTCTCTGATCCCTGTCTGCTATGTGACCTTCCCAATAACTCCCAAACTCTCCAGGCCTGACCAGTTGTTTTGGCAGCTCCAGTGATTTCCCTGTCCATGCAGGTCACCTACTTCCCCTTCGACTGGCAGAACTGTACCATGGTGTTCAGTTCCTACAGCTATGATAGTTCAGAAATCAGCCTGCAGACTGGCTTTGGTCCTGATGGGCAAGAGCAGCAGGAAATACACCTTCATGAAGGTACCTTCATTGGTGAGTAGGCAGGGCTCTCATAACCATCCCTCCTAACCTCTCTCCTTTGTTTTTTAATTTTTGCGTCACACCCGGAGATGCACAGGGATTACTCCTGGCTCACGCACTCAGGAATTACTCCTAGCAGTGCTCAGGGGACCATATGGGATACTGGGAATTGATTCCGGGTTGACCGTATGCAAGGCAAACGCCCTACCCGCTATGCTATCGCTCCAGCCCCCTAAACTCTCCTAACAGACTGTTATATCAAACACAACCTGTAGTGTCAGCAAGATAGGTATTACTGTTTGTGTTAGATACAGAAATTGAGGTGTATTATTCAAGTTTATTAGAGATAGGCTATATAGTCTACTGTCCACAGTTTCTTATCACATCAGCCCTCCCTATTATAGGATGTGACAGAACAAGTCATTCTTGCACCACAAGGATAGGTTCCACATCTGTGTCCTCTTCTTTTGCTCTCCCCTTTTATTTACAGAGAATGGACAATGGGAGATTATCCACAAACCTTCTCGGCTAATCCAGCGTCTGGTGGATCCCAGGGGAGGGGGCAGAGGCAAGCATCAAGAAGTCATCTTCTACCTCATTATTCGCCGGAAGCCTCTCTTCTACCTCGTCAATGTCATTGCCCCATGCATCCTCATCACCCTCCTGGCCATCATTGTCTTCTACCTGCCACCAGATGCAGGTAAGGGGAGAAGTCTCCTCTCCACCCCACCCCATCTTCATTCTTTCTCTTCTTCAACCCAGGTAAGGTTTTCCTGCTAACCAAAGCTATTGTGCTTAAGCAATGTGCTTCAGAAAATACGTTTTCAGGACCAGAGCAGGATATAGCGGGTAGAACATTTGCCTTGCACATGGCCAACCGGAATTCGATGACTGGCATCCATATGGTCCCCTAAATATTACCAGGTATACCCACAAAACAAAAACAAAAGAGAGAGAGAGAAGAAAAGAAAAGACATGTTTTCCCTTTAACCCAATTTTTCCATCTGGATACAGGTTTTCCCTCCTGTCTCTGGTTCTGCCTCTCCTTACTACCTACTTTTCTTTTCCCTCTCTTCACCTTGTAATCAGAACTCTTCCCTTCAGATCCCTAGTTTCTTATAGGCCAGAGGAATAGTACATGGGTTAAAGCACTTGTTTTGCCTCCAGCTGACCCCAGTTAGATCCTTGGCACTGAATATGTTCCCCTGAGTACCTCCAGGAGTGATCCCTATACAGAGTCAGGAGTAACCCCTGACATCTCAAGTGTGGCCTACCTCCCACTGCCGAAAAAAAGAATTCTACTCTCTCATCTTTGGCACTTCCGGTCTTCTGACCAACAAACTCCTGAACTTAAATAACTCTGCCTTACGAATTCTCCCTTAATTACGTACTTCTTCCTTCACTTTATAGATACCTTTGAGTCCTTTAACTGCTGTGAGATTAATATGGACTTGTTATAGAGGCGAATAAGAGGCTAAAGACAGTTTTTGTTTTGTTTTTGAGCCACGCTGGGTGGTGCCTGGAGGCTATTCCCAGCGCTTGGCTGAGGTGGGTGTGTTGCTCCCAGAGGTACTGAGGGTACCTGGAGTACTCTGGTTACCTGGTGCTAGGGATTGAACAGGGGTCAACCCCATACAAGGAAGTCCCTTAACTCCTATACATATTATCCCACCCTGGCTGAGAGTTTAAGTCATTTGGTGAACATATACAAAGACTAAGTTGCTATTCTAATCCTAGTTGGTATCAATCAGTCTAACAGGGAGTTGATTTCCACAGAGCCGGAAGTAATCACTAGGCATGATCCAGCCCTCCATCCCTCCTCCCAATAATTAAAATAAAATCCACCATCTTATACAGCTCTAAAAAATCCTTGCTGGGGCCAGAAAGGTAGTACAGCTGGTGGGTTGCTTGCTTTGCAGGTTGCCAAACCAGGTTTGCACCCCGTGTGGTCTCCTGAGCCTGCTCCTGGCTCTGAGCACAGAGGATTACTCCTGGTGGTGCTCAAAGGACCATATGGGCTGCCAGGGATCGAACCTCAAACCAAGTTCCATTGCATGCAAGGCAAGCACCCTACTTGCTGTACTGTCGCTCCAGCACCCCCATCCTTTTTGTAAAATTGTAACCCCTTCCACCATTCTCATCCTCCCATTCCATTTCCTAAATAATTTTCCTCCTTATCAATTTATTTTTTTGCTTTTTGGGTCACACCCAGTGATGCACAGGGGTCTCTCCTGACTCTGCACTCAGGAATTACCCCTGGCAGTGCTCAGGGGACCATATGGGATGCTGGGAATCAAACCCGGGTTGGCCGTGTGAAAGGCAAATGCCCTACCTGCTGTGCTACCGCTCCAGCCCCACCTTATCAGTTTTTTCTTTAAAACTAATCAGGGTGTGCCCCCCCCCAAAGAAATTAAAAAATAACAGTAAACCTATTCAGGGGTCTTAGAGGTAGTATGGCAGATAGGGTATTTGTCAGACTTGGGTTCAAGATTCCATCCCTGGAACCCCACATGGTCCCTTGAGCGGCCTGGGATTGAACCCAGACCTCCTACATTCAAAGCTGTGCTCTAAGCCCTCTGAGTACTCTCTCCAGCCCCTAGTCAATATTTGAACAAGGAAGAAAAGGTAAGAATAACTGGCAAGGCCTGGAGCAATAGCACAGTGGCTAGGGCGTTTACCTTGCATGCGGTCAACCCGGATTCAATTCGATTCAATCAGCATCCCATATGGTCCCCCGAGCACCGCCAGGAGTGATTCCTGAGTGCAAAGCCAGGAGTAACCCCTGAGCATCGTTGGGTGTGACCCCCCAAAAAAAAGAAAGAAAAAAAAATAACTGTGGCAGCTGTCTAGGGGGAAAATGTACCAGGAAGAATAAAGATATATGCAGGGCTGGGAATGTGGGTCAGTTGTTAGACCATGCCTCACCTCCTACTGTGAAGGTCAAACCTAGGGTTCATTCCTGGGACCACAGCAAAACAGTAGATGCAAAAACCCAGAGGGACTGTGCCTTATATATGTAAGAAATGGTTAAGATAGGGCCTGAGAGGTAATACAGTGGTAGGGTGCTTGCCCTGCATGCAACTGACCTGGGTTAAATTTCTCGCACCACATATGGTTCCCCAATCCTGTGAGGAGTGATCCCTGAGCACCTCCAGGTGTGACCCAAAAACCAAAACCAAAAAGAAATAACTAATGGAATTGAATGAAATAAGAGAGAAAATAGGAGATGAAGATAGCCACTCCACACTTGTTTTCTTCCTGTGCTGTATACCCCTACCCCCACTTCCACCCCCGCCCACATCCTACTGGTTGGCTACCCAGTCTTGTGCTGTGATCTCCCCATTTACGGGATTTCACCCTGGTTGAGAAATCTGGTGTAGAAGACAGTAAGAATTTGAGTTTTTATGCTTTGGAAAGAAGGAATGATAGGATCTGTTTGGCATTCTGTCTTATTTATTTATATTACTAATTTATTGGTACCAGGCATTGAACCCAGCGCTTCACACTATAGTTCATTTATTCTGTTTTTGTTTTTCTCCTTACTGATCTACATGTTTGGTTCTCCAGGCCTAGCACTCTGGGGATTGAACTCAGGTGCACATCTCTTGGACACGTACTCTACCACTTGAGCTATTTCTAGGCCTCTTGCTTTATATTTTATTTTTAAATTTAAATTATTTCTTTTCGAACCATACACAGCAGTGTTCAGGGGATACTCTTGGCTCTGTGCTCAGGGATCATTCCTGGAGGGGCTCAGGGGATCACATAGGTTGCTGGAGAGTGAACCTTAGTCCACCTTATGCAAGATAAGCTCCTTACTCCTTGTATTATCTTTCCAGTTCCCTGCTTTACATTTTTTGAGGGGGAGGGGGCCACATCTGTCTTTGTTCTGTGCTTACTCCTACACTTGGTTCTGCACTCAGGAATCACTCTTAGAGGACTTGGGGGACCATATGGGGTGGTAGGGATTGAACCTGCATGCAAGGCAAGCACCTATTCACTGTACTATCTCTCCATTCCCCCGCTTTACATTTTAATTATTATTTTATTGGATTTTGGGCCACATCAGGCAGTGCTCAAGGTTTAACTTGCCTCTGCACCAGGGATCACTCTTGGCAGGTTTGTCGGACCATTATGTGGTGCCACGGATCAAACCCTGGTTGACCATATGCAAGAAGAGTGCCCTACCCACTGTACTATTGCTTCTGTCCATGCTTTACATTTTTTGTTTGTTTTGGGACCACACCCAGCAATATTCAGGGCTTACTCCTGGCTCTGCACTCAGGAATCACTTCTGGTGGTACTTGAGGGATCATATAAAATATCGGAGATCAAACCTAGCTTGGCCATATGCAAGGCAAGCACCTTACCCACTGTACTATTGCTCTAGCCCTGAAATAGATTCCTTATAAATTAGACCTGAGTTAATGGTGTTTTGGACCAGCATGGCAGTGGTTAATGTATTAAGTCACAAGATTCAGATATATTTTGAAAGTAGTGTCAATACAATTTGCTATGGATTGAATATGGCATGAAAGGGAGAGTGGCTGCTGAGAATAACTCAAGGGACTTTGGCCTAAGACAACATGAAAGATGGAGTTATCATTTATGAAATAGGGAAGACAATGGGAGGAAGTTGATGGTGAAGGAATTGGGACTTCTATGTGTTTAAATTTGAGATATCTATTTAATATTCAATGGAGAGATCAAGTAAGCTAATCTTTTTTTGGGGGGGGAGGTGGGGTCACACCCAGCAGTGTCAGGGGTTACTCCTGGCTCAGAGCTCAGGAATTACTCCTAGAGTTGCTCTGGGGACCGTATGGGATACTGGGAACTGAACACAGGAGAGCCAAATACTAAGGTTGCCTTTGGGTAAAATCTAACCCTCTTGCCTTTCCCTTTGTTCTCGGTCCACTAGGAGAGAAGATGGGACTCTCCATCTTTGCCCTGCTGACCCTGACTGTGTTCCTGTTGCTGCTGGCAGACAAAGTACCTGAGACCTCCCTGGCTGTCCCTATCATTATTAAGTACCTCATGTTTACTATGGTCCTTGTTACCTTCTCGGTCATCCTTAGTGTCTTAGTGCTCAATCTGCATCACCGTTCACCCCACACTCACCAAATGCCCTTTTGGGTTCGTCAGGTAAGATTTCCAAACTGGTTACTCTGTCTTAGTCATTAGCTTTTTGTCCAGGTATTGTTCTTCCCTTCAAACAATGTCAGCCTTCTGTTTCACACACCTAAAGGAGAACTACAATTGCTGGTAGAGTGTTGAAGTACCAGGACCAGTTGGGTGTTGAAATTCTGTACAAGTTTATTTCCCATCATAATAATTTCCTATATCCTCATACTATCACCAGTTCTGCCCATGAGTCTCAGGATCTTAGTTATATTAATATAGAAGTCCCCAGAGATGTTTTCAGTCAGGATGACTTAATTTTGTTTGCTTTCAAACCATATCAGGCTGTGCTCAGGGCTTACTCTTGGCAGTATTTGGGGGACCATATGCAGTGTTTGGGATTTGAAACAGGGTCAACCTGTTCCCAACCTGTTAACAAGACAAGCACCTTGACCCCTGCACTATCTTTCTAGTCCATTCACTCGTTTAAGGGCTCTTAAAACAGGGATTGTATTTCATTGTTTATATCGCTCTGTACACATACACTTAGTACAGAGGGAGTGAGGAGTGGGGATGATTGACTGCTTCCCTATTAAGTCGAGGAGCATCAAACTCCTATCCAACATGCTTCTTCTATTTTTTAGATCTTCATCCAAAAACTCCCTCAATACCTGGGTCTGAAGAGGCCCAAACCTGACAGAGACCAGATGACAGAGCCACCTCTTCCTGCTCTCAAGGATTCTCTAGGAAGTGGCTGGGGTCGGGGTACAGATGAATATTTCATAAGGAAGCCGCTAAATGATTTTCTCTTCACGAAACCCAATAGGTAGTACTTATTCCCCATCATGCTGAGAGGGAGAGGGGGACTACAATTCCCAGAATACTGTGCACAGGCCAGAGATCTAATCTGCAAGCAAGATGCTGTTCTTGAGCATCATGGGAATTGTAGTAATTCTTTTTTTTCTTTTCTTTCTTTCTTTTTTTTTTTTTTTTGCTTTTTGGGTCATACCCGGCAATATACAGCGGTTACTCCTGGCTCATGTACTCAGGAATCACTCCTGGTGGTGCTCGGGGGACCATATGGGATAGCTGGGAATCGAACCCGGGTTGACCATGTGCAAGGCAAATGCCCTACCCGCTGTGCTATCACTCCAGCCCCAGGAATTGTAGTAATTATTCTGCTGATCATTTTGCAGAAAGGTGGGAACTATGTGCAGAAGAATGTAAGGAATTTCAGAAAGTTGGAGAGGTCACTGGTACAAAGAACCTTAGCGGATCACTTAGGCGTTGAAAACTGGCAGGGTGATGGAGGGAGGCGCTGGGTCAGGTATAGAACACTGACATAGGTTGTGTTTTTGCACCAGGATGCAACCAAATCGCTAACCTCTTTCAGGTTCCAGCCTGAACTGTCTGCCTCTGATCTGCGGTCATTTATTGATATCCCTAACCGGGCTGTAGGCCTGCCTCCTGAGCTCCGGGAAGTCATCTCTTCGATCAGCTTCATTGCTAGACAACTTCAGGAACAGGAGGATCAGGATGCGGTAAGTTCAATGAGGGTGGAGCCAGGAATCTGCAAACTCAAGTCCCGCTCACAGCACTCTATTTCTAATCGGAAGTTTGCTTTAATTGGCCCTACCCTCTGCTTTCAGATGTTGTTTACATTCATCCCTTGCCATGGTTTAGATAGGGCCTGTTCTGAAACTCATCCTCACCAAAGAACTGTGTTTGGAGGAGTAGGGTGGGTACAGGGCTCTGGAAGTTCTGAACTGGTGCCCTCTGCCTACCCACAGCTGAAGGAGGACTGGCAATTTGTGGCCATGGTAGTGGACCGTCTCTTCCTGTGGATCTTCATCATCTTCACAAGCGTTGGGACCCTGGTCATTTTCCTGGATGCCACATACCATTTGCCCCCAGAGGACCCCTTTCCTTGATCTTGGGAGACCTGAGGCTCACTCAGTTGATTTGAGAGTTAAGTGGTATTCTCAAGTCCTGTCACTTTCTGTTTCTTAATCCTTTAGGAGAAATCCAGTCCTCCCACTTCTGGGGGAGAAGGTCAGTGGGCCTGAGCACTGAGGCCTTGAGTCCATGTAAAAACTATCTGTTTATTGATTATTTAGCTTCTTTAAGAAACTCCTTTAGGTATCAACACCCAAGCCCCAAATAAAATAAAACAAAGATAGGGGGCCCCTTATAGCAGTGCTCAAGATAGTCCCAGGCCTCCAGCATGCAAAGCATGTGCTCAGTCTGCTTAGATCTCTCTCTTCCCCCTACACTGGGAATTTTATGCAGGTAGGAACTGTGTCTTGTAAGATGTAGGTACATAACATTGTTGAAAGTGAATTTTTTTCTAAAAGAAAATATACCTATTAGTAGTGCTTATTCTGGACGTGTGGCAATTTTGTTTCACTTTTCTGTTTCTATAGTCTTTTTTTTGTAATAACTATCTTTAGTGTTTTAAAAAAAGTTATTTCTAAAAGGATGTACTTAGGGGCTGGAACAATAGCACAGCGGGTAGGGCATTTGCCTTGCATGCAGCCAACATGGCTGACACAGGTTCGATTCCCAGCATCCCATATGGTCCCCCGAGCACCGTTAGGAGTGATTCCTGAGTGCATGAGCCAGGAGTAATCCCTGAGCATTGCCAGGTGTGACCCAAAAAGCAATAAATAAATAAATAAATAAAAATAAAAGGATGTACTTATAACGAGAGGAAAAAATTACTTGAAAACCTTCATTTGAGGGCCAGGGAAATGGCTCAAAAGGCTAAAACATGTGCAGGAGCATGGTACATGCTGGAGCCGCAGAATTAATCCCAAACCCTGCATGGCCCCTTGCGCATTGTTGGGAATAACCCTTTTCCCACTCAAAAAGAAATTCTTCTACCCTACGCATCCCTTGATAAAATCCAGAAGACACGCCTTCATTCAAGTTCTAGCTTTGGAACTCAAGCTTTTGGGGGGAATGGGAATGTTGAGCCATATCTGTGGTGCTCAGGACTATTCCTGGCTCTGTGCTTGAGGCTCTCATGGCAGGACTTCAGGGACTGTGTGGGAAACACTACTGTAATTGAACTGAACTTACCCTGATAAAAGGCAAGCACATTAGCCTCGGTACTACTTCTAGCCTGCTCTTCAAACTTTCAGTAGGGCATAAGACTGCTCTGAGTTTCCATGTGTGTGAAGCAAAGCTAATGACAGTATGTGCACCTAAGTCTGCACATCATATGAAAATATCGAGATGAAAACACAAGCACTTGAAAGTATCAGTGGTTGCAACTGGTATTTGTTTTTTTCCATGCTATTGGCTTGTAAACTAATTCTTAATTTGAATTAGTTCACTACTTTTACATTTTGGATATTTCACGGAGAAATCTGGATTTCTGGTTTCTTTTTCTTTTTGTTGTTTTGTTTTTTGGGTCACACCTGACAATGCACAAGAGTTGCTCCTGGCTCTGCACTCAGGAATTAGTCCTGGAGGTGCTCAGGGGACCATTTGGGATGCTGGGAATCAAACCCAGGTCGGCCGTGTGTAAGGAAAATGCCCTACCCGCTGTACTATCACTCCAGCCTCTGGATTTTTAGTTTCTTATATAAACCAAGCAACCAATTGAAAAAGATTGCCACCTGTTTTATTCCGTTGGCAGTAACCTATGAGAGCTGCTCCCTCGTGTAACAGTATCTGCTCTAGAATATCTCAGTATGAGCACCCTCCTGACAAGCTCCATTCACTCCATTTTTTTTTTGCCACTCCCTTCAATGCTTAGGGATTACTCCTGGCTCTACACTCAGAAATTACTGCTGGTAGTGCCCAGGGGGCCATATGGGATGCCAGGGATTGAACCTGAGTTGGCTGTGTGCAAGGCAATCACCATACCCATTGTTCTATCACTCGGGCCCCTCATTTTACCTATTTCTCTATAACACTTGATATGGGGAAGGGCTAGGTGCCAGGAATTGGAGCCAATAGGAAGAATGGAAGTAGAAAATATACAGTTGTGAGGGGCTAGGGATGTAGCTCAGTGATTGAATAGATGTTTTATTCTGGCAAGATCCTGGGTTCAATCTGTTAAACCCCCCCAACATTTCTAAAAGATCAAGTCTGTCCCCCTCCCCACACACACTTTTCTTTTTAGCCCACAGTAATGCTCAGGGCTTACTCCTGGGTCTCTGCTCAGGGATCACTATTGGTGGACTTGGGGGACTATATGAGAAGCCAGAGATTGAACCCAGGTAGGCCACATGCAAGGTAAGCACCATACCTGTACTTTACTATTGCTCCTATGACCCCTTTTATTAAAAGATTATGTCTTCCCCCCACCCACGCTTTTCTTTTTGGCCCACAATATATAAAAAATTTATAGATATAAATTTATTTATATAAATTTTGTGGGGGATCACACCTGCATTGTTTAGGATTTACTCCTGACTCTGCACTTAGTGTGGGGGAGTATGTGGGATGCTGGGATAGAACCTGGGTCGGCCGTGTGCAAGTCAAGTGCCCTACTTGCTGTATTATCTTTCTGGACCCTCATCACATATTTTATTCCTGTTTCTTCTCATTTTGGAGAAAGGTTGGACTTGATACATTGTTTCTGGGTCATACCCTGCAGTGCTTGTTCTTACTCCTAGCTCTGTGCTCAAAATACACTTCTGGTGGGACTTGGGGGACCACGTGGGGTGCTGGGGATGGAAACCATGTTGGCCACACGCAAGGCAAGAGCCTGATCTGCTGTTCTTTCTCTCTAGATCCATGTTGGGGATGGAGGCGCACAGGCTCTGCTTAGGGTTACCCCTGGCTCTGTACTCAGGGATCGCTCGGCAGACTTGAGGGACTACCTGGGGCTCCTGCGATCGAATCTGGGTTGGCTACATGCAAGGCAAGCACCTTCCCCACTGTACTATCTCTCTGGCCCAATATCTGGCCCAGGGATCACTCCTGATAGTGCTTGGGGGTCCATATGTGGTTCTGGGGATCAGCCACCTGTAGTGTTGTTGCTCACTGTACTATCCTTCTAGCCTTGGACCTGATTTAACGCAGTTAGATCTGGAATTAGATCTTGTGTCCAGTAGGCTGTGTAAAGTTTTTTTTTTTTTTTTGGTGGGGGCAGGGCACAGCTGACATTGCTCGGGGCTTCTGGCTCTGCACACATGGATCACTCCTGGTGAGGCCTCGGGGAACCTTATGGGATGCCATGGATCAAACCTAGGTTGGTCGCATGCAAGGCAAAGCACCCTACCCGCTATACGATCACTCTGGCACTGACTTGAGTTCATTTTCTTCCTGATATCAGACGAAAGACAGCTTGAACATTTAATTGCTGTCAGCACATTTAAAGTACTTGAGGTCAATAGAAACCTTTATACCTATTCATTGTTGGAGATTGTCCTGTGAGGGAGAATGGGGTAGTAACTCCCAGGTAAGCATTACCCTGTCCAGTCAAACCCACCAGCCACACAAATAATTGCACCTGGCATCCCACAGCAGAGCACAGTTTGTTTGTCTTGTTGGTTTATTGGCCTAGAGAGTTGGACACACACACAAATGCGGAGATAAATATTTGTCAGTTTCTCTAAATCTGGGTCCTCACTACGAATAGAGCTAGTCTGTAGAATTCTAAATCTTGTGTGCTGTGGCACAGAACCAGTGACCTTCCCTCACTACTATCACCCTTCTTCTTAGGGAACATGGGGAAAGAAGGTATTAACTAACAAGGCCGGATACTTTTCAAAAGAAGAAATTGCAAAATCCCAAATGTCTAACATCTGAAATTTACAATATCCAATCCCTCAGCTCACATACATATTAAAATTTCCATTTTGTCACTCAGAACCACCAAATTTCAGAAACTATTGTCCTATATTTTCAAAGAAGTTCATTTCTGCCATCTCAGCTCTCCCAAAATGTCCGATGGTTTTGGAATTTGGACCTGTTTTGATATTCAGATTCCCTGGTCCATGTTCACCCCCCCCCCTTCCCTCTTCTGCACAATTTTAGAGAAGTGCAGGGTACAGAATTAAGGGGATTATATCATCCCATCTGCCCTCAGACCCCACCGCCAAGGCCTTCCTCATTCTCTCAAATGGTTCCGCTGTGTATATATAGTCATATATACACGTATATATGTTGTGTGTAGATATATATGTATTCTTTATTATGTATTTTTTCGCAGTTTTTCTAAAGTGCCAGAGACAAGATTTGTGGGATTTTTTTTAGTGATTTTTTTTTCATTTTCCCATTTTAAACTCCCTCCCCTCCCCCTTAAAAATTGGAACTTGGTACATTCAGTAGGAACTCTTCACTCAGACTGTGGCCAAGACCAAGAAAAGTGCAAAGAGGCAGAGGAGGAATGAAGGAGCAACACTCCTCCATGGTTAACATTCAGGGGGCCTATAGAAAACCTGCCCCTTTCTACAGGCCAGGAGGGTAAGAGATAGGAAGACGCTCCTCTGTCTCCCCTAACTCACTCCCCTCCGAAAGCTGTGATCTTGTTCTCTCAGCATCTGCCCAGAGGGTAGCTGTCTTGGCCCCAGAAAACAATAGCTGAGGAAAAAGTTGCCATTTTTATTTTAGCAACATTTCCCCTTTTAAAACTGCACTCCTCGAAATTCCCGTGTTTTTTTTTTTCAAATTTGCTCCTCCCAAACGCTCCCCTTTTTTTGTGACTTGTTTCTGTTTTTTGAGCTTAGGAGGTGGGAGCGATGGGACATGTTCATTCAATTAGAGTGGGGAAGCCCAGTTATAAGTAATAGGAGCAAGCATTTCTGTCTCCCCCAGTGGAAGGAAAACGTAGGGACCCCTGACCAGGGTTAACTAGTGCAAATTAAGGTTTAGGGACTATTTAAGGTCCCTGTACTCCATCCCTAGACTGGGATCTTTGGGTGTGGGAAACTGAGTCAAAGATAGTGTGTAAGGTGCTATTTTGGAGGGAATGTTGGTGGGAATACCCTGGGACCCACCAAGGGAGTAGGATGGTTCCCGAAAAACCATCTGGAGTGACTGGTGAGGAGAGTGACAGTGGGGAAGATAGGGTTAAGGTAAGGATGGGTGGTCATGTGCAAATCTTGGGCTTACCCACCCATTCAACCCCGTAATTTTTCTGGCTATTTGGTCTAGTCTGGGAGAAACCATCAGCAACCCCCCTCCCCCAACCCCCCCAAAAAACTCATAAAGAGAGAAAGTGGATTTCCTTCTCCATCCCATATGGATCTCCTCCTTCCTGACCCCCCCAAATCTGGTCTAGCCCCGAAGTGGCCATTTGTAGAGGCAGGAAGAGGTATAATCTGCTCACCTCTTTTGCCTTGAGAGAATCTGGGGCTAGTGGATTTTGGGGCAAAGATAGGGTCAAGATTGGTGCTGCCCTGGACTGGGAAAGTGCTCTGTGGTGGAACAAATGGGTAGTTCTCCCCCACAACATGGCCTTGATCTGGACTGGGAGAGGCCAAAATGGAAGATTGGAAGGCATTGAAGTCAAAGGCGGCGTGGCATCTTACTGTGAAGGAGACAGTGACACAGGAACCCACCCTTGGGAAGAATGGAATCCAGAGTCATACTTGGTGGGTGCCAGGTATCACAATGGTCTGGTCCAGGCCCTGGGCCATGAAGACTGGAATGTGCTAGAAAGCATCTGGGGAAGAGCTTAGAGAAAGCTTCAGAATAAGGAAGGTCATTAGGTGAGAGATGGTTTCCCCCTAGGTTTATGGATGGCCGGGGGGGGGGGGGGGTGTTAGACATTCAGAGCTGGTGGGGGCTGTGAGTAGAGATTCATCTAAATATATTGCTGTTGCCCCAAGGGCTAGAGGAGGAACGGGAGTGGCCCTGCCCCTCATGGAGGCCATTCCCTGGAGGAGAGCTGAGAGGGGAACTACCAAAGATCCCTTCCCAGGAGATGGGAAAACTACAATCTCACACAAAGCAGCCTGACCCCTGAGTTACAGGGGCTCCAAATCCCTGCACAAGAGTGTGGAGGGGGGGAGGTGCTCCCAAGGGGCAGGGAAGCCAGGGAGCTAGTAGTGACGGGGGTATTCAGGGAGGGTAGAATCTGGTAGAAGGGGAAGACCTAGGCCGAGAGTTCACCCCACATCTCCCTTCTGGGTTCTCTCAACCCCTTCCCTTTCCCCTTCCGCTTTAGGGGGCACTGCTGGAGGAAGAGATGGAGGGGGTGGAGTTGGGGGAGTAGGCGGTGCAGCTTGAGGATTGACTGCATAGCCGAAGACCCCTGGTAGGAAGGGAAGAGCCCCCCCGCCCTTCTCATCAGGTAGGACCATGTTAAGAGCGACTGGGAGAGCAGCCAGGTTGCTGAAGTTGTAAGGGTAGGCGGCAAGGAGCTGGGGTCCATAGACAAGCGGGTAGGGCTCAGGGTAGAAGGTGACTTTGGCAGTCTCCACCCCCTCCATCCGGTCCCCCTCACCAGCCCCCACAGGCCCCTCACTCCCAGGTTTCCCCCTGCCACCTCCAGCTTCCCGGCCACCCCCAATCAGGGCCAGTGGAAATTCCTGCACGGGGGGGTATACATAGGCCCCCGCTCCTGGCAGTGCAGGGGGCTCCTCACCCCCGGAGATGATCGGGTCCTGCAGTGAGGAAGTCTCAGACGCTTCGGCAGCAGCATTCCCACCACCTGCCTCCCCACTGGACGAGGACACTTGCATCTCTTGGGGGGCCTCCTCCTTGACATCTCCAGGGCTGGTGCTGGTGGTACTGCCCTTGGAGTACGCTATGACGGGCGTGGGGGTACCCCCGGGCCGCTCAGCAGCGTGTCTCTGCCCATGGCGGCTCAGGGCAGCTGCCGTCTTACACACTTTGGCGCAGTGAGGGCAGGCGAAGCGGGTGGAAGGCCTCCGGCCAGCCCGCGAGCTGTGGGAGCCCCCGCCGTGAGCCTCCTGGTGCTTGTGCAGCTTCCTCAGGGTGGCGAACGTCTGGGCACAGATGGCGCAGCGGTGTCTCCGCTCGCTGCGGGCACGTGCTGAAGGGCCTTCAGCTCCTGGGGTCTCTTCCCAGCTCTTTCGCTCCAGCTTCTGCCTCCAGCGGGGTGGCCGGCGGCTCCTGGGCACCCCCCCGCCCCCACCGCTACCCGTGCCTGCAGCTCCAGCCTTGCGCTTGGGCTTGTAGGAGTAGTAGGGCCTCCAGAGCTGGTCCTCCCCGCCAGCCTTTGATTCCTCCTCCTCCTCTTCCTCCTCCTCCTCTTCGTTCTCTTCGTCCTCCTCTTCCTCTTCCTCCTCTCCACTCAGCTCCCCAGGACGCAAGTCAGTTTCTGAGATGCGACGCTTGACAATGGCTTCCTCGCCTATGCGCACAGTGATCTGACATAGGGGAGGTGGAGCCTGAAGCTGAGAGGGACCCCCGGCCCCACTGAGCCCCCCAACTGGCTTGGCTGTGTAAGTCAGAGTCCTGCCAGCCCGTGGGTTTCGGCCCTTGCCCTCCTCTGTGCCAGTGGCGGGCACTGCTGCAGCCACTGGGCTGCCCATGCTGGCTGGACTGGTTGGTATGGCTGCAGGCTCGGGGGGAGGCGGGGGATATTCACGTTTTTTGGGGGGTCTTGGGGGAGCTGTGTAAGTGATGACTGAGGCAGCTTGGGCTCCTCCTGTGCTGGCCGGCCTACCCATTACTCCGCTACTGCTGCTGCCCCCGTGTACAATAACAGAAGGGGCCGGGCGTGCGAAAGTGATGACAGAGGGTGGGGGGCCAGGCTCAGGGGCAGGTGGGGGTCCAGGTGGTGGGGTGGCTGGCATTGCTGCAGGGGCTGGTGTGGTGAGGCTTGGAGAAGGCGGGGCCTCGGGGGCTCCCTGGCTGTAGGTCTTGTAGGGTCGCTTGGCCGCCCGCATGGGGAGCAGGCGATAGAGCTTGAGAGTATTGAGTTTGGGCTTGTAGCCGCCATTGGGTGTCTTCTCACTGGCCAGCAGGCCGGGGCTAATGCCGTGGAAGGCTCGCTGGTGGGTCTTCAGATTATAGTAAGTGACAAAGGTCTCCCAGCAGAAGATGCACTGGTACCTGGGCCAGGACAGCAGGGAACAGGACAGGGACAGAGCCATTTGAGTCAGGAGCTAAAAGACCAGGGCCTCCCATATCCTCCGCTGCCTTCCACTCAAACCTCAACCCCCCCAGCCATTTGCTCGCCCTCTTCTTGTATTGCTTCTCTCACTCTGCCAGCCTTAAGAAGGACACGAGTCTAAGCTCAGTGGCCCAGGCTGACTGTGAGACACTCCTAGGCTTCAGCTAGTCCATCTGTGAACTAGGACTAATCACGTGCCCCAAATAACGCACAAAGTTTTCCTTTAAAACCCAGATGAAGAATAGGAGATTGCATTATGAACAAGGACACATACAGAAAGACATATTTTAAGTATTGGGTATGCCTGTGCTCCCAGGGTCCTTTTGTGAGGGGAGCTTCCTCTTTCCTTCTCCATGGCCCCAAGCCAGGACGTGGCACCTACAGGTATGCATGTCATCGGGAGGAAGTGGAGCTGCGCTGCGGGAGGTGAGCAGGCACCTCTGTATGGGCCCCACCCATCACTCTGCCATTCCTTCCCTTGTCCATGTAGTTTGAGTGCTGACCTTTGACCCGGCTGCCTGGCTTGGTTGGAACCCCAGGCCCCAGCCCTCCAGGCCACTCACCTGCGCTCCCCGGTGTGCCACACCTCATGCTTGGTGCGGTACTCGGCCAGGGCGAACACCTTCTCACAGTAGCGGCAGGGGTACTTTCTCCGCCACGAGTGCACGTTGCTGTGCCGCTTCAGGCTGGACAGGGTCACGTAGGAGCGCTCACAGGCCGCGCACACATACAGCACGTGGCCGCCCACCACCTTCACCACGTGCTCAGGGCCACCTCGGAAGGCCACCGGAGGCAGGGCCGAAGCATCCACTCCTGCAGGACCGCTCGGACCAGAGCCCCCTCCTCCCAGCCCTGCAGACCCCCGTGTGCTCACTCCCCGCCGGCACTGTGCCTCATGCGTCTGCAGCCGCTTGGGATGGATGAAGCTTTTCCCACATCGAGGGCAGGGGAGGGGCCGCCGGGGTAGCAGGGGCTGTGAATCAGGGGCTTGAGCCTCAGCCCGATTATCTTCCCACTCCCCAGCTGGCCTGGGTCCAAAGCTGTCATCTTCAGGCTGCGAGGTGGCCATGGGATTTGGGACAGGAGGCACCCAGGCATCACCTCCCTCCCCCAGGCCCTGCAGGCGAGATATGCCCAGACGTCGCCCCAGTGCTCCAATCTCGGCCACAGCTGCCCCGTCACCTCCTCCATCGGGGAGGGCAAGCCGGGCACTATAGATGAAGTTGAGGACATCAGAGAAGGCAGCTGCCGGGACCCCTGGCAGTTCCAGGACCCGGGGTGGGGATGAAGTGGGGGGTGAAGCTGGAGGAGGGGAGGAGGAGGAGGTGGTAGAGGTGGAGGTGGAGGAAGAGGCAGTTGTGGTGGTGGCAGGGTTGGAGGTCGTGACCCCTGTAACTGGTGGGAGAGACAATGGGGCTGAAGCAAGCAGGGCCTCTCTGAAGAAGGGACTAGAAGCAGCCAGGACACTGCGATGAGCAGGGAACTTGGTGTCTCCAGCTATGAGGGTGACATCACAGAAGAGGCCACGGAGTCGCTGCTCATTGAGCTGGCGCAGGACAGCTGGGGCATGGGATGGGTCCGTCACCTCTGCAGGGGGGGGCATGTTGCCAGCCTAGATGGAGAAGAAGAGGCCAGGGGAGGGTCTCAGAGGCTGGGCGGAGCGTAGAAGTCTCTAAAATCAGGGATGAACTGGGAGGGAATTAGAGGTAGTGGGAAGCCAGCCAACTTCCGGTCACAGGAGTCGGGGGTTTAACCCTGTTCAGCCACCCACCTCTAGCCAGCATCCAACACTGGTTTGTCAAACCTTAGGCTAAAAGAGGCCAGGGATACCTCAGGTCATGATGAATGTTAGGGGTCACACCCTCCCAAATCACACACTCAAGGGGGAAGAATTGATCACATCTCTTCCAGTTGGAAAAGCTCCCACAAGTACTGATGACTGTTTCACAGAACTCCCTAGGCTAGACAAAATGGCTGCTTGGCTGGCCTGCTGCCTCTGGTCCAACTTTTCCTAGCTGCAAACTTGTAGTACCCTCTCTCACCTGAGAATACAGTCAACATGGAGCGGGGCGGGGGTGGCTCAGCGAGTCCCTTCTGCTGGGCCTCTTCGTTCTGTGGAGAAAAAGAAAGCATGTCCTCAGCAAGGGAACAGGGAAGGAAAGAGTTCCGGGAGGTAGGGGTGTCAAAGAGGACAGTTGTCCTCTAGATGCTGATCCTTTAGGCCACATGCACTTGGACCTAGAAGATCACAAAAATCATGGCAAAGCTACGTCTGCTGGTCCCAGACGTATGGGAACAAAGTAATCTGCATATTTTCAATTCACCTCCAAATAATATGGCAATGCATGTCAATTCCTGGGTTCTGGGAAGCCTGTTGAATCATCTTCAAAGTCCCTCTGAGGGCTGGAAAGATAGTATAGTGGGTAGGGTGGTTTTCTTGCACATAGTCAACCAGGGTTTGATTCCAGCACCACACATGTCCTCCAAGCATCACCAGATGCACTATAGGGTGTGGTTCCCCGTCACCCCCAAGTCCCAATCTTCTCTGCTCAAAGAAAAACAAAGATTTGCATGGTGTCTTTATTACATATCAAAATAGATTGCTGAACCTTTTTTTTTTCATTGGGCAAGTTCGGAGATATTAGGAGAGAATACATTATATTCAGAGGTACCCTCCTCACCCACACCCACACCAGCCCTATATCGTAGGCAGGAATAGTTCCTGGTCAAGGTACCAGACCACCACCAAAGACTCACCCATAGGTCCCAGTCACTGGAAAGATGGACAGCCCAGGAGTGAGTTCCACTCCTTACTCTGAGAGCTGGTAGCTTTGGGACTTTGATTTAAAAAGGGAATTACAGAGCCAGAGAAATAGTACAGTAGGTGGTACAGTTCCTCGCATTTGGTTGGCCAGGGTTCAATTCCTGGCAGCCCATGTGATCTACCAAGTCTATCAGAGTGGTCCTTGAGTGAAGAGTTAGCACCATGGAGTGTGGCCCTAAAACCAAAAAATTTGAAAAAGGGGGCTGCAGAGATGTTAAAGTGCCTGCCTTGTATGTTTTCAATTCCCAGCATCCTATATGGTCCCCCAAGCTCCACCAGGAGTAATACCTGAATCCAGATCCAAGAGTAACCCCTGAGCATCGCTGAATATGGCCCCCAAAACAAACCAAACAAAATTTTTAAAAAGTGAACTATGAACCTTAGGGATAGCACAGTGGGTAAGGCACTGTCCTGGGTTTAATCCTCAGCAACACATACAATTCCCCGAGCACCATCAGGAGTGATCCCTGAGTGCAGCGCTAGGAGTAAGCCCTGAATACCACCACACCACTGTGTATGGCCGAAACAAACAAAAACAAAACAATGAGTGAAAGGGGAAGTTGATAGCCAAAGCGAGCACAAGGCACTTGCCTTGCATATGATCTCAAGCCAGGAATAGACCTGAATACTCCTGGGTGTGGCCCAAACCCCTTCTCCACCACCCCCCAACAAAATTTAAAAAAGAAAAGGGATGAGTGAAGGAGAAATGCAACCTAACCTCAACTTTTGCATAAAGGCTTATCTGTAAGTTAGAGCAGGCAACCCCAAATCAAGCTGTGATGGTTATTCCACTAAAAACACTTCACAGCTGCCTCTCCAAAAGACACAAAGAGAGCTAAAGAATCCCCATTTTCAATTGAAGATTTTAAGTTCTAAGACTACTCTGTGACTTAGTCAAGCAGAACTGGGAATAACAGGTGCAGCCAGTTCACAGAGCCAGGTCTGAGATACGAATGAAGGATTCCGGGGCCTCACATTCTCGCTCTGAGCCTGAGAGTGCTCTCCTTCTGAAGGCCCAGGGTCAGTCATGTCCATCAGTTCTTCGTACAGTTTCCACCCCACCAAAAATACTTTTCCTAGTTGTTCCTATGGCCTCAAAGGCCTCTCCTCGATAGTCCATTTTATTTTCCTAAAAGACTGCTCTGGGTTTTCCTGGAGGACAAAGAAAGGAGTATATATCTATAATACTCAAAAGTTCAAACACGGCTCAGGATATAGTGAGGTAGTAGAGTACATGCCTCACATGTGTGAGGCCCTGGATTTAAGTGCTGGCAGTGGGAGAAAATGTTTCACCATTTCCAAGTACCCAACACAAACCAGAAATGGGGTCAAGTATAATCCCATTAGTTGCTGGATGGGTTAGAAATCCTGGGGGAGGGACCGGTGTTGACTAAATGTTGTAAACTGAAGAAACACAGCAAGGCGGGCTTCTAACTCTCTGGCATGAGTGCCACTGGTCCCCTGGACCTGCAAGCCTGTCCTTTACTTGCATCACCTCATCTGCTTCCCACTACTCTAAAAGGTAGCTTCCCCATTTAAAATAAGACTACGGGTGAGAGAGACAGTACAGTGGGTAGTGCGCTTGCCTTGCACATGAACAACCTGGGTTCAATCCTCAGCATCCAGTGTGGTCCACTGAGCCCTCCAGAAGTGATTCCTGAACACAGATCCAGGAGTAATCCCTGAGCATCCCCAGGTTTTGGGGCCCCATCCTAAAAAAACAAAACTAAAACAGAGACTAAGGTCCGGGAAGACAGCACAAAAAGCACAACAGACTGAATCATGCACTTTGCCTGGTTCTACCAATGGATACCCCAAACACTGCCAAGAGATTCCTGAGTACCACCAGATGTGACCAAATAACAATAATAATACTATTTAAAAAGGATGGGTGTGGCAGAGAGATAGTACAACGGGTAGGCATACAGCGGGTAGGGCACTTGCCCTTGCATGTGGAAGACCTGGGTTGGATCCTTGGCACAACATATGGTCTTCTGAGCCTCCCAGAAGTGATGCCTGAGTGCAGATCCAGGAGTAAGCCCTGAATACAGGTGGCTGTGGCCCAAAATAAATCAAAACAAAACAAAAAGAATGATGGAGCCAAAGAATCAGTACAAGAATCAGTATAAGGTGTTTGCTTTGCATGCTGCCAGCCTTGGTTCAATGCCCAGCACTGCATATGGTCTCCCAAATACCACCAGAGGTCATTCCTGAGCAGAGGCAGGAAGAGCCCCTGAGCACTGTTTGTGATCCAAGACCTTCTCCCACCCAAATAAAATGAAACAATGAACCAAGGCTTTGATTCTAAACTGCTTTTCCAAGGGTATATGACAGGTTAGGAAGAGTTGAGTCCAGGAAGTTTGGCTCCAAAGCCCAAGCTCCTAGTGATTTTACATCATAAACCTGTATATTTGTCCCAATCATGACACGGTTCCTAAAATTTTAAGTTCTCAAATAACAGTGGTGCAAGAAGCATTTTTATTCTATTGGTTAATCTTTTATCTCTGTTCTGATACAGCATTCCTAACAACTTTGGGATTCCCTGGATGCTAGGTCTGTCTTTTGTTCCAGTGGGTTCTCAAATAGCTTTAGGAAGGGGGCTTGTCAACAGAAGACTGAGCCATGACTCGAAGCTTGAAATTTTCTTTTTCCTTTCTTTTTTTTGGGGGGGCGGGGGTCACACCCGGCAATGCACAGGGGTTGCTCCCCTGGCTCATGCACTCAGGAATTGCTCCTGGCGGTGCTCGGGGAGACCATATGGGATACTGGGAACCGAACCCGGGTCGACTGCGTGCAAGGCAAACACTATCCGCTGTGCTATGGCTCCAGTCCAGAAGCTTGAAAGTTTTCAGCTTCAGTGGGGGCATAGAGACTAGAGATCGAGTTAATACTTGATTATGCTTGGGGGCAAAAGCAATAGCATAGAGAGTAGGGTGCTTACTTATCTTGCATATGGCCAACCTGGGTTCAATCCCTAGCACCCCATACAGTTCCCCGAGCACTGCCAGGAGGGATTCCTGAGTGCAGAGCCAGGAATAACCCCTGGACATTGTTGGGTGTGGCCCCCGAAAATTAATACTTACAAAATAAAAATTGTTTATTTTGGGGCAAGCGCTATTGGGCAGCCTAAATGTATGCTTTGCAGGTTCAATCCCTGGCACTGCATGTTCCTGAGCACTGCTGGGAGCATCCCCCAAGCACTGAGGTGGAAAAAGCTCCTGAGCACTGCTGAGTGTGGTCCTGAAACAAAACAGAACAAATTATCTTTTAATTGTGGGGGAGGGTTTTGGACAACACTTGATAATGCTCAGGGATTACTCCTGGCAATGTTTGAAAGACCTTATGGGATACTGGCCATCAAACCCAGGTCGGCCCCATGCAAGGAAAGTGCCCTACTTGCTGTATTATCTCTCCAACTCCAACAAAACAATTAAGAATTCCTATACTAAAGGTTCAGAGAGATTCCGGGTTTGTGACACATCCATGTCAAAAGGGTGGTGCACCCCAAATTCAAGGGACAGAAGGTCTTGTGCTCAGGGTCCTTCCATAGTCCACCTTACACACCTCTTCATCTGGGTTATTATTCACTTGTATATTTTGGCGGGGCGTTGGTCAGGGGCTACTCTTGGTTCTGTGCTCAGACAGTGCTCGGGCACTACCTGACTCCTCAGGGGGCCATATGTGCTGCTGGGGATTTAAACTGGGATCAGCTGCATACAAGGCAAGTATCTTATTACCTCCTGTACTATCTTTCTGTCCCTGTTTGCTTATAGCATTTTGTTTTGGGGCCTCACCCAGCACTCAGGACTTACTTTCCTTGTCTGTGCTCAGGGATCACTCTGTCCCCCTTGGGGAATCAAACTGGGTGAGGACGGCTAGAGGAGCTAAGGCACTTGCCTTGTATGTGGCCAACCGGATTCAGTTCTCAGGACCCTATAGGGTCCCCTGAGTCCCAACAGAAGCCAGGAGTGATCCCTGAGCGCAGAGCCAGGAGTAAGTCCTGAGCACCACTGGGTGTGGCTCAAAAACCGAAAACCAAAAAATAAAATGGGTCAGCTGCATGCAAGGAGCCTTATTCCCTGTAGGCCACTTGTATTTTTAAAACAGTCCTATCCTTATTATATTTAACTCAGTAAACCTGAGTGTTTTCCTGAATCCTTAAGTCTGTCAAGCAAATTTTTGAATCTGAGGAGGAGATGGTAGGAGTCTCCAGTAAATAGCCGGACAGGTGACTGTGCCTGAGGGAAGCCTGGGGGACTGAGATCGATGTGACTCTATCTCCCAGGAG